TTCTTCAAATAAAACATGTGAAATGAAAAAACATTGTAAAATATATGCGGTGCAATCTTATATCTATACTGTAGTGAGAAAATCCAAATGTGATATTTGTTTGAAGACATTTGGCTGGACATGCAGAAAATTGATCACTCATGAGATTCTAAGATCCACACTGGGAGAGGAATTTCAAACGTGATGGTTGTTTGAAGACATTTACCCATAAGGCTAACCTTACATCGAATTGTAAAATCCCTTCTGTTTTTGTTTTGTTGACATTTAACACAGCCTCTCAAATGAATAGACATTGTAAAATTCATATTGGAGAGAGACATTTTAAATGCAACTGGTAGCCTACATATTTTCAATTTTTTTTGCTGTTCCTTCACAACATTTGTGCCTACTACATGTAGCTCAAAATTGCAGAAAAACAACTGCGGGATTGTAGACAGGATAGCTGGGAACGAGTTGCTCTGTTGTCTTTAATTGATTATAATATGCACGCAATAGATAAACTGGCCAATTACCCAAATGCGAGTAGGTAGTTACCAGTTTCACCACCAGGTGGCTGATTCGGGTCAATTAACATGGCAGGTATATAAGAAAGTTCCCTTAAACTTGAATATTATCAATTTAAGTGGCTCAATTTTCATATAACCCTTATGTGTCTGATACTTATACTTATGAAAATATGTCCAGTAAAGCAAAATATTATCTGTCCACTAAAAGAAAAGATATTTCATTTTTGTGATTTTATAGCATGGGGTCTATAGGGAATCTCCCCGAGCTAAAATTATTTTTTCAAAGTTGATAATCACTTTTTAAAACCACGTTTCTAGATGTAATTTTACATGTAGATGTCTAATATGATATTACTTTGACTGAATTTTGAATTTTTAATGACGTAAATCAAGATTATTCCTACTCGCATCTGGGTTATTGGTGTAGCATATATGGTGTAATATATGTATTATATGTGAGGTGTAAAAATACAGAAATACAGAAGTTCATAACATCAAAACATGTGTATTCTTCTTGAAATAGCAAAATCTACAATTTATATACTTTATTATCATATTTTGCCAGTCCTTGTATGATTCATCCTTATCGGACATCATTATCACAGCTCATATGGAATAAATTGAAATACTCTTGGATTAAGGATGGATACAATAACGTCTGCAAAAACTTTTCAAAGAAACGCTACACACAGATCAATAGGTTATCAGCGTTGTTTGATTCCACTGCATACGTCTTCGGGACCTCTGTCGGAATTCGAAACTTATCGTTGCAAAAGCAACGCCACACATCAAACCATACAGGTATATGCAATCTTTCAAAATGTCTTGTTTTGATAAGGATTTGCAATTATATGAGACATTGCACGGGTAATCTCTTTCTCGTGATTTAATTCAGAAATACTTATGTGTTTTTAAGTTAATTCTGAAACGCCCACATATTTCCCTCTCCGAACTTTTATAATCGGGTTCATGACCACTTCAGGATGTAATTCAGTATGAAAGAGCCGTTTAAGCACTTCGTAATTGTGCCTGACAAAAGACCGTCCGTAGAAATGTGATATATCGCTTATTGTTTCCTTTCTATTTGACAGTTCCCACATCTTGTTTCATCAAGCTTCGGACCTATCCTCATAGAACGTAGATCTTTTATAATCAGATTCATGACTGCCGTTTAAGCACTTCGTAACTGTGCCTGACAAAAGACCGTCCGTAGAAATTTGATATATTGCTTGTTTCCTTTCTATTTCACAGTTCCCAATACATCATGCCTCACACTTATACGATGCCTTTTTCTGCAAGTTCAGCTCTTACCATGGCGAGATAATCGGGATCGGGATAGCCAAAGTTTGTTCTGAAAGAAGCAATTATTTATTTATTTATTTTAATTTTATTATAGTGTCATGAGTTAAAATACAATTACATATATAAAACAATAGTACACTGTTAAAATCACCCCAGGCCCCATATGGAACTATAAGACACTTTTGTAAAAACATATAAATCATGTTTTGTAAATAAAATGTTCCCGTCGTTTAAGCATCCGGTCACAGGCTTTTGCAGTGAAGAGACAAATTCTGTCATTAGACATTAAATACTGAAATTTACTCTCTTCATCTAAATTCATGAAACCAGTTACAATAGTAGAAACGTGTGCATACAAGTCTAAACGGATGTCTTCATAACGAGAACAGTTCAAAATTACATGTCTTTCATTTTCAATTGCATTATAACATAAAGGACACACCCTTTCATCAACTGGCAGCCTTTCATAACGACCAGTTTCTATTCTGATTGGTGCTACACCACATCTTATAGAAGCAAATGACTTTCTTTGAGAAATAGAAAGCGTTGATGTAACATATCTTTCTGTTTTTATGTCATGTTTATAGGTTCTAAAAGTTCTGAGTTTGTTTCCTTGACCTATAATGTTGCCGCTTTGTATCGTCCCAGAGTCTTGTTTGCCAGTTGTTCTGCACTTGACGTTCCAGAGGTGACACAATCGCCGACACCAGGTCGTCATCATTAACCTGGAGAGAATCGTAAACCTGCCTCAGGTGGTATAAGGTGTTTTTCTTTCCACTGTTAGCACGTAAAACATTCCAATGGTAAATACGGTTGGTCAACCTATTGTGGCTAAGAGACTGAAGTCGCAAGTTAAACGTATGGTTTTTCTTCACCTGTTTTTCAAATGGTGAGGTCCACCCCATCTCGCCCTGGACAGCAAGGTTGGGTGTATACCTGCCTAATCCAAGAAATGCTCTACAGGCTCTGTGAGAAACAGTATTAATACATGCATACTCCTTAAATCCCCAGACTTCTGCACCGTATTCCAAAATTGGTGTGACTAAACTATCATACAGTCTTGTAAAGCACTTAAATGGCATACCACCATTTGCCTTGTACTTGGCAATTACTAGTCCTAGAGCGCGACTTGCTGCCTGTGCGATAGAGGTAGCCATCTGGTTAAAGTCTAAATGCTCGTTGAACCAAAGGCCAAGATACTTGTATTTATTGTCTGATACGTTAATAGCATTGTCGTTATACATAAAGTTAAACTGTGATCGTTGCACAGATTTAGGACGGAAATGGACTACATTGGTTTTAGTGATGTTAACTGTCATTCTCCATTTGCTACACCATCTTGATAAAGTGTCTAGCATTAGCTGTATGGATTCCTCGGAGTCACCGATAAGTGCAATGTCATCCGCATAGAGAAGTATTGACACTTTTTCACCATTAACATCAACTCCAAGGTCAAGGGATTTAATATCATCCACAATGTCATTGATGTACAAATTGAAGAGCGAGCACGAAGTCAAACAGCCCTGTTTTAATCCAGTCTTAACATCAAAGAACCCAGATAATCTTCCGTTAATGTTCACACAACTCTTAACATTCCTATATAGAGCCTTCGGGGCACCCATAAACTGTCCAGAAATACCCAATTGGCTAAGTTTGTACCACAGCAACTGCCTATCGATTTTGTCATATGCACGTTGGGCGTCTACGAAACAAACAAAGGTACTCTTTTTATCCTTAAGCCTGTTGTCAATGATTGATGATAGGGGGTACATATGGTCCTGGCAACTTTTACCTTTAAGGAAACCATTCTGTTCGTCATGAACCAAGTTGTTTTCTGCACAGAATTTGGTTAAGCGTGTGTTGAGAATCCAACTATACAGCGTACATACTGAAGATGTCACAGTTATACCCCTGTATGTTAAGGGCTTCATAGGGTCACTACTTGCACCCTTGGAGATAGGGTGTACAATACATTTGTTCCATTCTGAAGGCACTATTTTGTTAGTGAAACAAAACTTGAAGAGAGACGCAAAGAATTTAACAGATTGACCATTAACCAGTAATTCCATTTGTATCCGATCAAAACTAGCGGCTTTCCCAAGTTTCGCTGCTTGTAACGCTGCTTGTACTTCGTTAGTGGAAATGCCATCATTCAGCAAAGTTGTATCAATGTTCGGATTATTTAAAGGGACACTATCGGTCCTCATTTGTTGGACTGCTTCACCATAGAAATTATAATCAAAGCTCCCAGAAATATCAACCGAGTGTAGAGATTCGAAATCGGTCCTCCATTTATCAAGTACATCTTCCTCATTGGTTATGATTTCACCGTTTTCGCCATACACTTGCAAAGGTATAGATTGCTTTTTTTCACTATTAATTCCGATTTGCCCGATCTTCTTCCAAAAGGCCCTCGGATCCTGGGTTACATTTTTAATCATTTCCTGGTGTTGGTCATATAGATATCGCCTTTTTTCTCGTCGTTTTACAATGTCAAATTGTTTCCTTTTAGTTACATACTCATGTTTTAGTGTTCGTTTTTGCTGGGAATTGGGAGGAGCTCGAAGCCATTTTCTCTCAGCTTCGACTCGTGCGCAGTTCAGTAATAAACAAATAATTGCAATGTATAGGATGAAATATCAAATAGAAATTAAACCATAAATAAATGAGTCATGGATTTGCTGAAGTGAAGATTTCCCATGTTAAAAATGTTCATGAGGCCATACATCAGTGTATGCAAAATGGAAAATATACACATTTTAGTGGATATGCATCAAGACTGTCAACATCGGAAACTATGGGCTTTCAAACCACCATGGTTTGGAAATGGTGATCGATAAATCGACTACTCATTTATTTATGGTCCAAACTGTAGGTATATATTTGTTTTGTCCCATCAACAATGAGTAAAGAGAATATAGAAACCTCACCCCGTACTCTGGGGGTAAAAATTGTACATGTTGTTTTCTTTTAAAGAAACGGTATCATACCATTGGAAAGCATACTTTCACTTTGGTAGATCTGACGAATTTAACACACCTTAAGTGTAGTAATATCTAGTAGGTGTCATGTAAACCTAGATTAAACTGATTGTATTGAATTTTAGTACGCAGAATAGCTCCAATTTGGTTCAACCACTGGGAAGATGACACTAATGGATAATGGAATGAAGATACATACGGTCCTCCATATATCTTTGTCTTGTGGTGGATATCATTCCACGTTACCACGTCATCAGTACCACGTGTTCTTGATTGACCAATGGTGAAAATCAGACGTGCATCAAAGGCTTTCTTTAATAGAGCAGCGATCTCATTCCCCTCCTTGTTGTCTGGCAGATAAGCTGTCCAGTGGCATCCACGATAATTCTTTCCCGGAGATGGGTGAATAAACTGAAACAAAAACATACAATAGATCATAAAATAACATCGCGATATATATCAACTTCAATATGAAAGAGATACTTATTATAAAAATTAATATTCATAAACCAATATTTTTCACATAAACTATTAAAACATGAACTGCTAACTTCAACCACGATGTTATATAGTTTCCGCGATAATGCTGACGAAGAATTTCAACAACAAAAAGAGTTCTACCTCTTGTATCCCGTTGGGTATGGAGTAGCTTATTTCAATATGGCCACATCCATCATACCCAGGTAGTGACGTATACGTTTTACGTGAAGACATAGTTCCTCCCTTTGGCTGATCGCCCTTACGTTTACCGTACGATGCTCCGCATACGGGACATTGGGGTCTTGATCTCTTCATCCATCCATCGATGCAGTCCTTGCAGAATGAATGGCCACATTTATCCAGCATCTTGGGTTTAACCATTCTCGATAAGCAAATGATACACTGGACTTCTTCCTTGACATCATCAAGTGGCGTGCCTCTCTCGGTGCATTTAATGCAGTGTCTCACAGTTGGGTCGTCCACTAAATACTCCTTACACGGGTAGCAATACCAATGGCTACAATCCATTTCCCACATTCCTAAAGTCCCATCAACGCACTGTACGCATTGGCGTGCTCTAGTGGCTCGTTTTTCATGTGCAGACCGTTGTCGGGTCAATCGAGGGCTATCTCGTAAGGTAACCGCATCAACTTCATCCTCTAGAGTCTTCACATTGTATCCGAGAGCTTTTTGAACATTAGACTTTGCCTTTAAAACCTCCCTTTTTGGTCCTATAAATTCTATCACATTGTCATTTATATATATAAGAAGTTCTGTTGCCTCAGAATCGTCAATCATTTTAGAAACTTTTGAATTTCTCTTGAGCTTTTCTTCAGATGTTGTTATGCTGTCGTGTAACATGCTATAAGTTAAGACCACATTTTGATATAGACCGACCAATGCGTCATAGGCCCTTTCGATCCTGGCCGACTGTGAACACCCCTTCCTCGGCACTACCGTAAGAGTGCAAATTTGATCGCCGTCTTTTATGTTAAACGTTACGTCAAATTTGTCTCTGATCTTGTTTAAGTTTTTTCTTTTTTTCTTATGTAAATATTTCAATATAATTCTTTCCATTTCTAATCCGAATTGACTGCCTTCTTCCGTGTGCTCTTTAGGCTCTTTGTCCAGTGTGGTTACTGATTCTTCATCCACAGGGTTTGATGAGCCAGAGTTCCTTGCTCCATCTGATTTGCCATATTTTTGAAGTTTGGATTGGTTTCTTCTTTTTTCGGTGTCTTTACTTGGGACATTTTCAGAATCTTCATTTATGCAAGCAAAAACTATCCTATCTTTGTAGAGCTTGCCTTTGCGGAAAGCCATTTTCATATTTACATCAAAGCTAACATTTGGCACATGCGTCCATTGCTTGAGCTTGGAATCAATTTCTTGAGCCATGTTAGCAAGTTCTACATGATGACCGTAGTCCTTTACAGTAGATAGCTGGTTCATTGTAGTTTCTATTAGTGTCTTCTGCAGCTCAAGATGCCCCAAGTGGGCAATTGTTTGCTTGGTGGACGCGTCTCTCTTCTCTGCGATACGGTCGATATTCTCAGTGTATATATTACGAATGTGTTGGATTGCCGCATTCATATCTTTAGTGAGTTCACATATAGCGTCATTGACCTCTGTCTCCATTTTGTGTTTGGTTTTGTGAGTCTCACCGATGGCTGTTTCATAATGTTCAACCAAATCATTCCCACACTTCAATAGCTTTTGAATTTGTTGAACATTTTCCTCCGCAGCTTCTTGTATATCAACACACTCATGACCTAAATGAGAGATGGCGTAACATGTAGCACATACGATACACTTATCAACTTTACAATATATTTGCAAAGGAATATTGTGCTTGGGGCAGTGAATTGTACGGTCTTTGACAGTTTTGAGCGCTCGTTGCATATCGTGAGACTTATCCCCGGTAAGGTCAACGGTTGTATGTCCTTGTATGAATCCATTATGATTGTCCATACATGCCTTACATAAGTATTTATTACATTCTAGACATTTAATGACCGCATTGATGTCTCCGTTTTTATTCACTTTGCACATTATACATTTGGGGGTATCATCTGTTTCAGCTGCATTGAAAATCTCCACTAAGGTTTTAGTCGTGTAATTGACGTTGAAACCATCGACGCCCTTTTCAGGTACGGTGTGTACCTGTCTACATTCCGGGCATTTCACTGTATTTTCATCCGATTCCTTGGTAAGTTCTCCCAGACAGCCACAGCAATACGTATGCATACATGGTAACGCCTTGGGGTTATTTAAAACTTGATAACAGATTTTACAAGTCAGTGTTTCCTTTATTTGTTCCTCTATGACACCAGCCATGTTCGCTATCACTCGATTAGAGCCAATAAAACATTGCCTCGCCCGTAGCTGTGTGTTAAAATTGAAAACCTTTGAACCTAAAACCCGACTGTCAAACGTTTTTTGGACTTTGTATGATCAATAAAACATGTGAACGATTAGACCTCAATGACACTTCGGAGATATCGAATAATGGCTAGCTAGTTCGCAGAAGTCGTTATATTACTGATTATTACCACCTTGCCGGGCCAGTTCTAGGGGTGTTTTAGTGCAAGTTTAGAGGGCATTATTTTACTATATCGACCTGAGCAATACATGACGTCATAGTGGTGGTCCATAATGCCGGTCAATAATGCAATTAATCACCGGCAATTTTGCCCGGGAAATTAGATATCGTTGAGTATGACGCGGTATCGCCGCCAGAACCGTGCGAATGATCGCGCGACTGTTTCATCAGTCGCGCGACAATTTTACAGTTGCGCGATCATAATCAGCCAATAGAAAGTGATAGTTTATTCGCGCGATTGTTTCTCAAATATCAACTTCGCCCGACTTAAATTAACCATTCAAAACCATGTTTACAAAACTATGCCACCATTTTGATTAGAAGTTCGAGATATCCGATTCAACCACTAAATCTTCTTATTCGTTGATCTAATTGCTGGTAGGGGTGCCTAATTGACGCAATTTATTAGAAGAGTTCGGTGAACAGTTCATGATGCAGCTAGAACCGTTGTAAACGGCAGTTTAGAGATGATATGGTATTTACAAGTCTGCCTATTCATAGTACCCATAACAAAAGCTTTACTTAAAAACGTAGTTAACCAATATTCATCAGTTGTGTTACTTAGTTGCGTCTTACTCCATTTGTTCAACTATTTATTCTGAAATATTACCAACATTTGAAAATACAATCATGTGGTTTAAAAATAGTAAGATGAATTTATGGATCGGATGGGAATGTCTACGGAACATTCTCATACTCCAATTCATGTTATCATGTGTGTAATAGCAAACATCAACAATGAATGTAAAGCAGTTCAAGGAGCTCGAGAAGAATGCTGGGATGATTTAATGGTGTCGAAGATAACAATATCGGAGACAGATCTGTAGCAAATGTACCAAATTTGGTGAGAACACAACGTCTTTGTAACGTTTTCTACACTTACAAATATCTTTCACATTTAAAACACGTTACGAAAACGTCAAATTTTGCTGTTTATATTACGTAGCAAAAGAAACAATTTGGTGAGAACTGCAACGTCTTTGTAACGTTTTCTACACTTAAAAATATCTTTCATATTTAAAACACATTATGACAACGTCAAATTTTACCATTTACATTCCGTAGCAAATGTACCAAATTTGGTGAGAACACAACGTCTTTGTAACGTTTTCTACACTTACAAATATCTTTCACATTTAGAACACGTTACGACAACGTCAAATTTTACCGTTTTTAATAAGGTAGCAAATGAAACAATTTGGTGAGAAGTGCAACGTCTTTGTAACGTTTTCTACACTTACAAACATCTTTCACATTTAAAACACGTTACGACAACGTCAAATTTTACCGTTTACATTACGTAACAAATGTACCAAATTTGGTGAGAACACAACGTCTTTGTAACGTTTTCTACACTTAAAAATATCTTTCATATTTAAAACACATTACGACAACGTCAAATTTTACCGTTTACATTACGTAACAAATGTACCAAATTTGGTGAGAACACAACGTCTTTGTAACGTTTTCTACACTTACAAATATCTTTCATGTTAAAAACACGTTACGACAACGTCAAATTTTACCGTTTACATTACGTAGCAAATGTACCAAATTTGGTGAGAACACAACGTCTTTGTAACGTTTTCTACACTTACAAATATCTTTCACATTTAGACCACATTACGACAACGTCAAATTTTACCGTTTATATTACGTAGCAATTGAAACAATTTGGTGAGAAGTGCAACGTCTTTGTAACGTTTTCTACACTTACAAATATCTTTCACATTTAAAACACGTTACGACAACGTCAAATTTTACCGTTTACATTACGTAACAAATGTACCAAATTTGGTGAGAACACAACGTCTTTGTAACGTTTTCTACACTTACAAATATCTTTCACATTTAAAGAACGTTACGACAACGTTAAATTTTACCGTTTATATTACGTTGCAAATGAACCAAATTGGTAAAAATTCAACGTCATTGTTACGTTTTTCACACCAGCACAAATTTCGAACTTTACGAACACATTACTACAACGTCATTTTTTAACCATCCACCGACGTTTTGCTGAATGTCACAATTTTACGTTGTTTTGACGTTTATATAACGGAAATATACAACGTCTTCAGTGAACTTATATAGCACATATGAGTGACGTGACATGAACGTCACTGTTTGCTGGGGATGGCGTAGAATCTATTAAAGATAATTTTAAATCTCCCTTTAATATCCCATTTATAACACAACTGAAATAATTTAATACATTTTCTTTGGCCCTTTTGTTCGGGATACTAAACTTTAAATTCCTTAGGTTAATTCGAGGAAAGTTTCTAATGATGCATTAATGAACCCTGCTTAAGTCGTCCCTTGCAAAAAATTAAAACCAAAACAACATAAATTGAATCATGTCTTACATTAAAAGAACAAAATATAAAATCAACATTCTGTCAATTTTTCTTCTAAATCACTTGGATTAAAAAAACTTTAAATGTTTATCTTTACAATAAGTTACGACTAAGAATTCTGAGCATGAGTCGACTTAAAAAAGCTAAAGAGTAAAACAAATTAAACACTGCGTCAGTATGCGTTCTACTATCTGTTGCCTAAAACTTATTCCGAAGTATTTATATTAAAACATCAAATACACGTGCATTTTAATTGCACAATTACTGTATAACCTGCGAAAAAGCGAAAATTAGATGTGAATAACAGGTGTAATATACTAAGCAATCACTTTTTAACAACATATGACCATATAAACTTAACTTATCATAACAAATTGCATGTACTTTCTTTGAGGGCTGGAGATAACATGTGGTGAAACCTCTTGTCGAGTTGTGACGATGGATTTCATTTGTTGGTATGACACGGGCGGACTTAACAACGTTAGGCCGCATTTTCTTGCTACCCCATTGGTTGCGTATCATCGGGCGACGGTAACACAATTTTCCGGGCGAATACTTATGCAGACGTGCGATTTCTATTGGTTAAAATCAATCGCGGGAATAAAATACATTCGCGCGGAAAACATGAATTCATCGCGCGATTGTTCGCGCGGTTCTGGCGGCGATACCGCGTCATAGTTGAGTGCGTAAGATTTTCTTGTTGTTTCAGCCCTGGTCATTAACGGTGGAAATATTTCACTATATTGCCCTTCGAAATGACGTTATTGGGTACTATTAATTGGTGTAAAGTATTAAGAAAACAGGGTTCAGCATTGATCCAAGTCGATGGAATACACTTTGAGTAGAATACAAACATTGCCATTCAACCACTTAAAATGCATAGGTCACTGGTAGTACACTCGATTACGCTGTTACAGAAACGGATTCGTTTCGATAACAAGATGGCTTCTGTTCCGATGTAAAAAAAAACTCCAATCTTTCTCCTGTTTTTCATTAAACCTGAATATTCATTGTACCTAAATAAGGACAAAGCCATCTATCAAGGTCACAAATTGTGTTACATAATTATCTGAGGGTTGGAGAGTACAAATCGATATTTTGGACAGAAATTAAGCTTAAAGGCAGGATTTACATTTAATTCAATGTCAATGCAGATCGAAATCGGAAGTCAAATGATTAATCAATTCCCTATCCTTATATGGAGCCCATGTTAATACAGTAAAACCTGTCTTAGTAAACACCTTTCTCTAGTGAACACTTGTCTAGTAGATACACTCCCTCCCCACATGGACTTACACCCTCCCCACATGGACTAAATTACCTTCTCTGAAGCGAAACCTGTGGACACCATTTCATCCACACATGCTCTACTGCGTTTGTTTAAATTACCCTCTCTGAAGTGAACATCTGCCTCAAGTAGACACACTCCCTCCCCACATACTCTACTGACTTCTGTATAAATTATCCTCTCTGTAGCGTCTAGTGAACACCTGTCTCTAGTAGACACACTCCCTTTATGAAGTATCAAGAACAGATTTTGGACACACTTTGGAGGATGAAGTTTAGAGATACATAATGTATTGTCAAGTTAAAGATCATCCACAACATTACCATGGACAATAACAAAAAAGTCATTTTTGTACCTAAATAATAATTATATTTTGGATCAGAATTACTAAATCAAAATTATACAATGTGGATATTACAAATGATTCCAAATCAAGAAATGGTCATGGCAGTCCATTACAAAATTTTCCAATAATTTACATTACATCCGAATAAAATGTTTTCCTGTTTCAAAACGAGGCACAAAATAGTTTTACATGTAATACGATGTGAGAGATAAATGAGAAACTAGCACAATTTGAAATTCTAATTTCATTCATGATTGCTTTATCAGTTACAAACTTGACTGAGTAGAGTTCAAATATTACATAATACTTTATTGTTGCCATCTATTGTACCAATCAATATACAGATAACTATAATCCAAAACAGGTGAGGTTAGCTTAAAAAGGTGAGGTCAAACTGATGTTAAAATTTGCAAAATCTCTCGAATTTTTCAATTTTCCTTCAATTTGAATCCAGGTACCAATATGCTGTTTTCTCCAGACTGTATAACATAATCTCTAATATTAGAAGAAAGTAAATTCTCATTGTAAAGAATAGAGATACTAATCAATGAAACATTTTTCTCCATGCCATCATTGAAACTGGGCATTGGAAGCAAGAGTAAGTATCATACTAAGGGGCCTTCCAATTCAAAGACCAGCAATTTCATGATTTTTCTTTAAACTCTTGATGTAACCTCCATTCGGTAGAAAAAATATATTCTCTTTCCAAAATATCATTCAATGAAACATTTTTGTCTATTAGCCATCAACGGAAGCTCGAGTAAATGTCTTGCCAAAGGGCCTTCCAGTTTGAATCCAGGGGCACACGTGTTTGTTATTTGCTTCTGTACCCAGGCCTCTCGTGAGATGATCTTAGATGGCTGCATTTGGGGAATGTCATCACGTGACCTATAAACAGAAAGTTTTTTAAACTTATATTAGATAAGTTATGAATTTAGTGTCTCAATCATTTCTACAATATTAGCACTCGACTATTTATCTACAGAATTTTGGAATCATAACTGTTCCTGACATAAAGAAAGGTCCACTTATTTGGCCCTATTATGAAATTTCCAGACAACATGATCAAAACTGTGAATTCTGTCATTATACGAATTTTTATTCAAAAGGATTTTGGCAGAGATTAGTTTAATTGGAATACTTTTTCAAATCTACCAATTTAAAGCAGGCACAAAATTATCAATAAATACATAACAAAAATATAACAAGGCATTAACATGCAAAATGTCACCACCCGTCATTTGTTACAGACACTGACTGAATGCCAACTGGCAAACATCAACTGCCAAACACACGAAAAAGTTGGGAGACTATAACAATATGTCACCACTTGTGGTGGTGACATAAAAAGCATTTACATTCCTTTTCAGTTTTTAATATAGGTTTTCTTTAATTTTTACAACTGATGTTTCAATTTTGACGCTGATTGAATCTTAAGGAGCTCAAATGAAGCATAATATTGTCCTTTACATGATTATGAATTCAAAAAAAGATGGGAAATGAAGTTTAAATTCTCACATCATATTCTGATTCAAATTATAGGCTACATTAAAAAAATATGTTCCTTTTAGAAAAAAATTAAGCTGAACGATTCTTGAATGAAAAATTCTACGTACCCTTGTTTGTATTGCTTGTATATGATGTCCTTGCTTTTGTGTCTCTTGTCCAGGTAGGCATCTAGGGACTCGTCTGTTGTTATACCTGAAATAAATAATAAAATACAGCACCAGTTTTAATTTATGTTTTATATGTACAAAGATCGTATCATTTTTTATTGGTTGTCATATAGGAACTGTCTGTTGTCAGTCCCTGTAGCGAGGGGGAGTTCGAGGGGGTTAAACCCCCTGACCAAAAAATCTCTTCCAAAATCATGCAGTTTTCACCATTCTGAGCATTTTTCTGGTAATTTGGGGCATGGGTTGTCAAATGGAACCCCCTGGATTTTTTTGCAAAGTGAACCCCCCAAGCAATAGCTGCCTATGGGTTGTTATGGGTTCAGATTTTCAAAAGGGTGCTATATAATTTTCAATTGTTCAACAGTGTGCTATGTAATTTTCAAATGTTCAACAGTGTGCAGCTGTCCAATTGCTTTATTTAATGGGTAAATCACTTCTACAATGTATTTCATTCCATTTGAGTTACAATTCACATGAGACACCACAAGGTGTGTATATGTGGTAGTATAATGTAACTTGATATCTGAAGGTAGAAACAGCTCCCTATATTAATCTGACAGGAACTGAGGCCTCATTATCATCTGGTCGCAAATAGTTGCGTTGCGTCTGCGATGCGATTGCGATCGCAATTCGTAACGCATGCGATGCGTGATATTAATAATTGAGCGCAATCGCAGACGCAAAGCAATCGCAAAACAATTAAAACGTAAGTTGCGATCGCAAGTCTAGAGTGTATTTTGGCGCGAAATTTAAAAGGACACTGGCGCTAGTTTTTGACATCGATTGATTGAAATTGATAGAAATCCAATAATTGATATGATTTGATTGATTGCGCATGCATTACACTTGTGCAAGACATAAGTGCGCCAAAATGCAAATCGATTTACATTGAACAGACGGTAGTCGAAGAAACAGGTCGAGGGCAAGGAATTGGACAAATGATGAACAAGAATTATTAGTATCTCTCATTGAGAAGGATGCAAATATTCTTTTGGCACCACTTAGCTGTCAAATAACAATACAGTCACAGGATAGTTGCTGGGCAAGGGTAGCTGAAAAAATAAGTTCACTTGGTGTGGAAATGAGGACTAGAAAAAACGTTATGTAAGTCACACATCACTGAAAATAAATAACTGTTAAAACGGGAAGTTGTCATGTTACTGAAACTAACTGAATTAAAATGAACATTTGGTCGTTGTTGTATGTGTTCTACAATGCTTCTATCTAAAATCCGTCAACATAATTTTTCAACAGACAATGAAACGATAACAGCTAATGAGTTTTCTTTTTGGTGGTGTATATTTTACATTTTATACACATGCAAGAAAAAAGTTGTGGGTTCCATATCGATATATGTTTAAATATGTCTCCAGTGTATTGCATTTATTTTCCTTTGGAACAAAATATGAAACACGTCTTTTGCATTGTGATCAAAGCAAATCATGTTTGAATCAGGGTCGGGATGAAAATGTGAAAATCTTCAATTTTAAGACGAACTCTCATTTCAAATTGAAAATCTAACTCTTTCCGACGAGTCAACTTCAATGCGATGGGTGATGCTTGAACAACAGATACAGAGTACATGTCTATGTAAAAAAGAAAATCGTGCTTTTTCATTTTTAAACTATTAAATTTAACAACTTAGTAATTTGCAGTGATATGCATTTATTCTATTATGTAGAATTAACAACGTTTATATTCATATTCAAACTCGATCAAATAAAATGTATTTAATATTTAGAAACCCCGGGATGAAATGATTGTTCCTATTCTTTGGTGTCAGTTCGTCTTCAAAAAGGTTTATAACCTCTATTAACAATGCTCTCGGCATTCTGTATCTCTGGAGCATCTCGATGTCATTTAGTGAATCGAGTGGGTTAAACCTATCTCGAAATACTCTTCGGCCAATACGATTGTGGTGATCCAGAATGAAATGAAACATCTTGGTGTTCTTGTACTTTTGCAGACGATGTAGGTGAGGTACATACACTAGGAATACTCAGAACATTAGTGTAGTAGTGGCAAGATTAATTCACCAAACAAGCTTTATTAGCTAGATAAATATTTAATTGGCGAAAATCCTATGCTCCAAAGAGCATGAAACATTGCAGGCACCAATCTAAGACGTATACAGTATGTGATGCGTTCGCAATATTTAGAAACAAATGTGATTTTTTAGGATTTACAGGCTCAATTAAATGTATATTTAAATCATATTAAATAAATAAAATTGAACAATTTCTTCGATACTATTGATTAATACTTAACAGGTGGTGAAATGACCGATATAAAACACCACAAAATATCCATTAACATAGATAAAATAACGCTCAAAGATGAACTAGATTTGCGATTTGATTTGCGACAGGGTAAACGTCGTCGCAACTTTTTGTTTAGTTGCGATCAGAAAATCGATAACTTTGCGTCAGACTTGCGATGCGATGGAATGATAATAACATTTTTGGGAAATAGTTGCGTTGCGATGTCTTGCGTTGCGATTCGCATGCGATTTTGCGTTGCGACCAGATGATAATGAGGCCTCTGGTATCTTTATTCTGGCTAGGACCAAAGACAGTTAAAGCCAGCACAGGCCTCTTATTGAGTTTTTAGCACTCAAGTTAACAGCTCTCTGGTATACTAATAATGCCTTGGTCACACTTGCTCCAATTTTCACTATGGCGCCCGGATGATTGAGCATTTTGTTAAGAAATGTATTTAATTTTGAACAAAATACTCAATCGGCCGGGCGCCGGCCGATGAATCGCAGCAAATGTGACCCACGCATAAACAGCAGCTAGCTCCTTTTGCCACTTGCTGGGATGTGATATGATCTATATCATATTAGATATGATCTAATACTGGGGAGATCACTGCTATGTTAACACTAGTTGAAATCACTAACTCACCCAATTGCTGCATCTTTTGTTCAAAGGTAAGCGGGGCAGCTGGTTTTTTGTTTGTCTTCTCTTGAGGATATAGTAACTCTCCTGTTCTCCAATCTATGACCTCCTCACATTTACCACCTATAATCAAATAACAGAGAATAATGATCTTCCTCTAAATTACTCAATTGGCCTTATATGGGCATTACTTGAAAGATATTTTTCTTTGCCTTAACAAAGGTAGGAATTTTCTAAGAATACATTCTCAATAATCAGATAATGGAATATACACAGTAACTTACAGAAGGAAATGAAGAAAATATTTGATTTTCTGTTCATGTTTCAGAGCTAAAAATAAATAAAATTCATATTAATGAGATCATCATTTACCCCTTTAATGCAATTAATTTCATTGTTCCACAACGTTAAACATTTGAACATTACCAATACAAATAAAAAATGAACAAATTAAAGAATTTAATGGAAAACTTACTTTTTGATTCTGTTTTCTGCTCTCTTATTGGTCCTAGTGCTGCTAGTTCATCCCTGCAAAAATGTACATTCATATAAATATTAAAAAATATATTAAAAACTCACTAAAATTCAAATATTGGTGTCTTGACATTTCTCTCTCTAAGTTAATTTCATCAATATTTAAAGATGGATCATTGGCCATGTTATTTACTTATCCTTAAATTGCACCCTGACAATACAGTTTTACTATGTTGCAAAATTGCATATTGTTCAAGTGATATCTTGATGAACACTAAATATTTGGGCCGAAATTGATATATATGTAGATTCATTCTATATCACTCTGGTTTCTTTATAAAAGTTCTTTCAAGAAAAAAGCATACAATTCACTTACTTCGGAATGATCTTCTTCACAAACACCACCTTTGGGGGTCTCTGTTGTTTATTTTTGGTTTTGCTGTTTATATGTATATTTGGAATATGCATGAAGTACTCAATCCCAGTGCCTATCTCAGGAAGGACAGTGACGTCATGTTGTCTCAGGACTTCCAAGCTGACAACACACTCTTTGCTACTCTGAGTTTTCCCTCTATAATCAGATAAATGAAGTGTGATTTATTTTAAGCAATTAATATTATGGTATTTACTCCTTTCCAAAAGATTGATAATTACCTTTGTAGGTATATATTAGCATTTACCATAACCATAATAAAATAATAAAAAATAATTAAAAAATTTAATTAAAATCTGATCAAATCAATGAATAGAATAACACATACTGTTAGTGTCAGCCTACTGTACCTTTTATAAGTATTTATAATGACACAAATATCTCATAGCAATCAGACACAACATTGGGAGACAAGGCATTAACATGAAAAATGTCACAACCTAGTTGCTCACAATATTATTAGTACATTCTTAAGTCAGATTTGAATTTCTGAGAACTCTGTAGATGATTTTGAAAAAAATTGGTCAATTTGAAGCAAGTTGAAAAATACCTTTTTGACCTTGAGAAGGTCATTGAAGGTCAAATCTTTTTTGTCCTTGAGAATGTCATTGAAGGTTCAATCGATAGTCAAATTTGAACTTTTGAATTGTAGATGATTTTGACAATAAATTGATCAATTTGAAGCAAGTTGAAAAGTACATTTTTGACCTTTTCTTGACATTGAAGGTCAAATCTTGAATGTTAAGTCAGATTTGAACTTCTGAAAACTTGTAGATGATTTTGAAAAAATTGAAGTCAGTCTAAACAGTATTTGCAAAGTTATTGGAAGTTGTTACAGATGCCAAACACCGCCTGCCGATCGCCAACCACTAACCGCCGCCACAACAATATGTCACCACTTTTTGGTGGTGACATGAAAAACTGAGAAATAACAAAATATGGGGTTGGCGATAACTGGATACATAAAATAATGGAGTGTGTTTATTATTTTCGTGCGAGATGGCTGAAAGTACTTACAATGCTATAGCAAGTGGATGGCTATCAGGAAGTGGTGTTACATATGCAGCTGTAGGATCAATCCTCTTTTCTCGATTGTTTATCTTATTTCTGCTCAGGTATCCAACACAATGGTGAACTTTTTTGTGACTTTGAGAACCTCCCTGTTTAAATGAATAGTAAGGGGGTACACCCTTCGGGTACTTTGTCAGTTTGCTTAGGTCAAGGTGGGTCCCTAGTGGATGTAGGTTTGGGGCAAAGGTTGTACGAATAGACCCTGAAAATAACAAAGAAAACCTTAAAAACAAATGAATTAAAGGGGTACAACTCTAGAAAGCCTATGGTGTGTTCCTTGTGGATGTAGGTAGGGGGTGTGGATTGTCTTTTAAAAAATAAATAAAAATAAATTGCCTTTTATAACAAACATATAGTGGCAATATCAATACATGTATATCACAGTTACATTTGTGCTGAATAAGAAAACATTTGGTCATTTTGGAGTTATTGCACCAAAAGCGTCCATTACTTATTGATCATCCCTCGTATGCATGCAAAATGTGGTGACTTTACTCTTATAAGTGAAGAAATGAGAGTAAATAAACAGACTTGGGACTTATGTTGTCTCAGCTACTAATTACTTAATGCTCTTAATCTCAAGAGCTTCATGTTCATAAAATTTGTATTTACCAGATTCATCAATCTCTGAATATGGGGCAAGCAGAATGTTAACATTGTAAGTCCAGAATTGTCTTTTCGTTGGGTCACGTGCCAGTTTATGATCATCTCTTCGCTGTCCATCGGGTTTCTTGCCCCATCCACTGTCAGTCAATCCAAGAGATCCAGTTGTAAACCAACCAAATGTCTTAGTGGCGCCATCTTTGTGGATGTTTTGTTGTTGAGTGAAAACCTGAAATTGTACTGGAAATGTACAATCATGAAACTGAACAATTTAACAAAGGAAGGAATTTCCCAGGATTCCTCACTGACATTGTCAAAGGAAAACAGAGAAAACCTTCTCCACAATAATGGTAAAGAAGGTTTAATGAGGGTCAATGAAAATGTTAAAGGAGAACAAAGAAGTTTGTTGTTTTTCCAACAAAAATGTGAAAGGAGGACAAGAGGTTTGCTCCCATGATTCCCAGCTGGTCACTGGCTTATCCCATAGGAATTCACAAAATTTTACCCAAGCCAGACAAGTTATCGGTAGTACCCATTAAATTATTGCAAATTGTTACAAAAGTGTATCAATTTGTGACAGATGCCAACTTCAAATAGCAAGTCCCAATAATGATAACTTTAATAATATGACAAAAACCTTGGTGATGGCATTTAAAACAATTCGTTAAATCTGAGATAACTAGGAATGGACTATAAAATACTTACATTTGCATGAAGAAGAACATCCTCGGGGTCCTCGTTGGTGTACAGATAACCACATGTTTCATACAAACTGAAAAAATAAATAAACAAGTCAGGCTATAATTTCATGTTCATTTTCTCAAAGTTTCAAAATAGATACTTGGTGAACTACAAAAACATGGCCTAAAGTTGAACACTTGTTGAATTATAGTTTTTGTGCTTAAGCATCATATTTGACTAAACCTCTTACTAGTTAGTCTAGCTACAAGCCCCTGTGCCCCTCTCCCTCTACTTGACTACACAGGTTGCTGGGATGAGTAGTGGGGGGGGGCACAAGGGCTTGTAGCGAGACTACTTACTTGTCTTTATTCACTATGGCTTTGTCCAAATAATTCTTTGTAAGGTTTAGTTTCCCCCACATCTTTGTCACATGGTCTTCAGTCGGGAAGTGAATCTTAATGCCCTAGAAAATACAAGAAAATATTGAGTTCAACTACTTCACAAAAATACATCACATTTCAATTTATGATATAAGGTTTAGTTTCTCCCACATCTTTGTCACATGGTCCTCAGTCGGGAAGTGAATCTTAATGCCCTAGAAAATGCAAAAAATATTGAGAAATGACATTTTAATACCACCTTGCTTCAATAATTGGTTTTGAATTTTGTTACATAAACTTGTTCATTCTGTCTAGTGTAGTGTAACATTGATGAACACTGTTGTTTTGGTCCAAAAGTCTATAAAAATGTCACTTGGACATTCTAAGGGTAATGCGAGATCAGAATGAAATGCCTTTATTCCTCTGTATTGTATGGCCAAAAATAACACAACTTGATGGCTGATCATAAGTGGCAGGCCATTATATTATATTCAGCCTTTGGGCCAAGATTTCACCATGTTGCCTGCTGAAATGTGTTTATTGCTATATCATAAATAGAGTTCCTGAATTTCTGTGTTATCTATATGTATAGAATCTGAAGTATTGACATGCTTTAGGGAGACTGTTGTATATAATTTGATGACCCCTCAATATGTTTTAAGTTTGTTTATTGATATAAATAAGAGAAAAAGTATATTCTCTCACCTGGTAGCCTGTGGGACATGATACTAGCATAGACTTAAACTTTTCCAGTACAGTCCTTACATTGTTTCCTTGGCCAAGTGAATGGGTTTGGTACACTAACTAGAACAGAAAAATTAATTACAAAATTAATTTTTTTCTTTATCTCTTTATTGCAGTCCTAAAAAAATATATATATACTCGTATTATCTATTTAAATATAGCTTTTTTAAAGTTGTAACAGATCCTCTATGATAGGTTGCAGAATAGCCTTGCCCAAGTCGGTATTTTTTTACTTATCTGATCTTGAATTATTAACGCCTTGTACAATCCCTTACATCTCCACTGTTATTATGCTGAAATATTCAACAGTTTCGAGATTTCCATAATACCTACGCTATCAGGGGTATCGCGAAACCTTATTGATTGACAGATATTGCGTGGACACGACGTGTGACTTCAGGCTGAATGACCAATCAAAACGTTATCAGGTTGAGCAGCATAAACAAAACAGACTTCCCATCTACGACTTGAAATTCAATGATCTGATCATGGGCATTCAACTATAGTTGAATGCCCATGATCTGATCGAGTGTTTCTCCCGGGGTGTTTCTTTAGAGTTAGAATATATTATGTAATTAAATGTACATTGGAAGGTAAGAGTCATTGATAGAAATTAAATCATGCGATTCAATGTTGATTTAAAACTGATTTCGCGATGAAAATGCACGAAGACCTATAGATATATATGTAGCGGCTAGCCCGTCATGTTGTCGATCGGTGATTGAATCTCAGCCTACATGTTCAGCGATCGTTTCAACGTTTATTGTTGAAATCTTCTCACCTTTCATTATCCGATCGATGCAAATTTTACCGACATAAACATTGAGTCGGTTTAGCACGTGGCTTTCGCATTTGTACAAGGCGGTCATAATAGAAATCAAGATAAGTAAAAGAGACCGACTTGGGTAAGGCTAGTTGCAGAGAAGCTCCCGGATTATCTATTTTTAGCCAATTTGTCTTTAAAACTTGAATAAATTTAAAAAAATGAATAAAAAAAATAAAAAAAGTATCTGATTTCCTAGCATTTCTACAAAAAATTTAGAATATTGACTACAAATCTATGTGCTTAATTCCTTGCTATTTCCACGCTTTTCTCATATTTTTCAAATAAAAACATGACCATTATGATGTATTTACTCTACCTGGGCAGCCTCCAAAGAGAACCAGTGAATGTTACGCACAACATACTGCAGAAACTCAAACCCAAGGCCATCTTCTGGTCTAAAGTTCCCTGAAATAGAACACAACTTTTAATTTTTCTTTAATTCATTGAACAACGAGACATAGTAATTATGAAACCATAGACATAACCAATTTTGATGTTATCTTTTATAGACTAGTACAAGTTAACCTTAAAAAGTTTAATTTCAGGGTTCTACTTTATGTTTAAATCGAATACATGGACATCGGAAGAGGGTTTATACTCAAGGTCATGTGACAATGAATTGACAAATCAGAAATATTAGAATCTAATATATACCTGGCACTGTACACAGCATATGGACACAAGGAGAGGTGATCTACTCAATGTCATGTGACCATGAATTGACCAATCAGAAATGCTAGAATCTACTAAATACCTGGTACTGAACACAGCAAATTGACACAGGGAGAGAGATGGCTGAAATCAATACCATTCAACCACTTCATGCAGTCGATCTTGAAGGAAATCAGGAATTGGTAGAGCATATTTTCAAACATGTAATCTCCACGCACTGGAAGACAAAAGCATAACATTGAAACACATTCATGGAAATAAGTTTAAAGTAAAAATAAAGTGAAAATAAATTGTTTGTCATGAATCTAATAAACCAAAATTGCCAATGCTAAAAATTATACAAAGATCTCAAATATTTAACTACATGTAGTACTATTAAAAATAATTTCTGTGTAATTCCAAAAATTCCAATGGATAACATACTACATTTGATTTAAAAATAAAAAGTGAGATCAAACACTTTTGGAGCAGTCCTTGTATTCTATGTTGTTAAAATATGTCTCATAAAGTTCAGATATTTATTACTTTTTAGTTTATTTATGTTTTTCATATTCATTTGTATTGATTGAATTAAAATGCATGTCGTTTCTATTGTAAACCTTTGGAATTAAATTCTGCACATGAAGCCTTTCATTAATGATTTTTGAGTGGACTGAAATATTTTTGAAAATTACCTCGCTTGCAGAAGTCTTCTCTATTTTCTCCCATACTGGTGGGAATATATTTGAAGTCCTCGTACCATCCAAACTGCAGAATCTTCTCCCACGACACAGAATCAAAACTTCCACTGGATACTACGATTCGGCAGAAGTCAGTATATCTACAGAAGCAAAACCAAATGCATCCTAAGCATGATGTGTACTTTTGTTCTCATTTAAATTTGTTGTAGCTAGGTACCTATACAAGGCAGTTATCTTGTTGTTTGCACATAATTATTATCTATTTCAAAAACCAAATGTTTCAATTTATTTTTGTTAATTTCTAAATGGGCTTGGTCACCATGCACTCTTTTGACTGACCCAATCTAAGTCTTCCGTTGATGGGTGTTGTCACCATTCTCCACCCTATTTTCTCCAAACCAATCTAAAGTTTTTGTTAATGTGTGTGGTCATTAAAAAACTAAAGCAATACCTGAGAATAAGCACATTGGCTCTAATGTTGGCACATTCTTTGGTGTGCACGATATAGATGTCTCTGGCCTCTTTACATCCGCAATCCACAGGCACATATTCCTCATAATCGTCAAATAATTCTAAAACAAACAAGGCATTAACATGACGAAATGTCACCACCTAGTTGCTCACAATATGATTAGTTCAATCTTAAATCAGATTTAAATTTCTGAGAACTTGTACATGATTTTGAAAAAGAAAAATGGTCAATTTGAAGCCAGTTGAAAAAAGACCTTTTTTACCCTGAGAAGGTCATTGAAGGTGAAATCTTAAATCTAAAGTCAGATTTGAACTTCTGAGAACTTGTTCATGATTTCCAAAACATGGTCAATTTGAAGCAAGTTGAAAAAAGACCTTTTTGACTTGAAAAGGTAATTGAAGGTCAAATATTTTTTAAGCTTTGAATGTCATTGAAGGTCAAATCTATAGTCAGATTTGAACTTTTGAGAACTTCCAGATGATTTGGAAAAAATGGTCAATTTGGAGCAAGTTGAAAAAAGATCTTTTTTTACCTTGAGAAGGTCAATGAAGGTCAAATCTCAAATCTAAAGTCAGATTTGAACTTGTGATAACTTGTAGATGATTTTGAAAAAAAGTGGAAAACAAAAGAAAATACCTAAATTAAGCCCCTTGCCATATCAATCTGGTTAGTGGAAGTTATTTTTAATCGAGAAATGAATATATTCCCTGCAGTCCATCAGAATATATGTACTCTGGTATATATCTCAGGATAAAACCCATATTTAAACCCACTTAGCCTGAATGTACGTACCAAACTCTTTCCGATGAACGAGGCATTCTGTGATTGTGCGATCCACCCATACTTCATTTTCTACATGCTGTAATACACACATATTTATAATATGTATAATATGTATATAATATTTCACAATTCTGTGATTGTGCGATCCACCCATACTTTATTTTCTTCATGCTGTAATACACACATATTTATAATATGTATATAATATTTCACAATTCTGTGATTGTGCGATCCACCCATACTTCATTTTCTTTATGCTGTAATAGACACATATTTATAATATGTATATAATATTTCACAATTCTGTGATTGTGCGATCCACCCATACTTCATTTTCTTTATGCTGTAATAGACACATATTTATAATATGTATAATATGTATATAATATTTCACAATTCTGTGATTGTGCTATCCACCCATACTTTATTTTCTACATGCTGTAATACACACATATTTATAATATGTATATAATATTTCACAATTCTGTGATTGTGCGATCCACCCATACTTCATTTTCTTTATGCTGTAATAGACACATATTTATAATATGTATAATATGTATATAATATTTCACAATTCTGTGATTGTGCTATCCACCCATACTTTATTTTCTACATGCTGTAATACACACATATTTATAATATGTATATAATATTTCACAATTCTGTGATTGTGCGATCCACCCATACTTAATTTTCTACATGCTGTAATACACACATATTTACAATATGTATATAATATTTCACAATTCTGTGATTGTGCGATCCACCCATACTTCATTTTCTTTATGCTGTAATACACACATATTTATAATATGTATAATATGTATATAATATTTCACAATTCTGTGATTGTGCGATCCACCCATACTTCATTTTCTTTATGCTGTAATAGACACATATTTATAATATGTATAATATGTATATAATATTTCACAATTCTGTGATTGTGCGATCCACCCATACTTCATTTTCTTTATGCTGTAATAGACACATATTTATAATATGTATAATATGTATATAATATTTCACAATTCTGTGATTGTGCGATCCACCCATACTTCATTTTCTACATGCTGTAATACACACATATTTATAATATGTATAATATGTATATAATATTTCACAATTCTGTGATTGTGCGATCCACCCATACTTTATTTTCTTCATGCTGTAATACACACATATTTATAATATGTATAATATGTATATAATATTTCACAATTCTGTGATTGTGCGATCCACCCATACTTTATTTTCTACATGCTGTAATACACACATATTTATAATATGTATAATATGTATATAATATTTCACAATTCTGTGATTGTGCGATCCACCCATACTTCATTTTCTTCATGCTGTAATACACACATATTTATAATATGTATAATATGTATATAATATTTCACAATTCTGTGATTGTGCGATCCACCCATACTTCATTTTCTTCATGCTGTAATACACACATATTTATAATATGTATAATATGTATATAATATTTCACAATTCTGTGATTGTGCGATCCACCCATACTTCATTTTCTACATGCTGTAATACACACATATTTATAATATGTATAATATGTATATAATATTTCACAATTCTGTGATTGTGCGATCCACCCATACTTCATTTTCTTCATGCTGTAATACACACATATTTATAATCAAATGATTACATTCTTTGATAAATTAGTACATCATTTAATTTGCCGCTACTGCATGAATGGTGGTTCATTGATAATTGTAAGGAATTACACTTACCCTTTGAGAAAATATGCTTAATGTTGGATATACACTTAGTGTTTGGGAAATACACTGAATGTTTGGGAAATATACTTAGTGTTTGGAAAATACACTTAGTGTTTGGGAAATACACTTAGTGCTTGGGAAATACACTTAGTGTTTGGGAAATACACTTAGTGTTTGGGAAATACACTTACTATTTGAAAAAATACACTTAATCAATTAATGTTTGGGAAATACAGCTAGTGTTTGAGAAATACACTAAAGTGTCTGTGAGGGAAATACACTTACTGCTGGAGAAATGCACTAACTATTTCAGAATGTTGGAAATACACTAATTGTTTGGAAAATACACTTACTGTTTGGGAAATACACTAAGTGTTCGAGATATACACTTACTTTGGAGAAATACACTTAATGATAACAAATTACACTTACTGTTGGACAAACTATGTTAATCTCAGCTCCAGCTGGGAATACACTTGCATAGAAGCTTGGGTCATTATACCAAATGCTGCTTATCACCAGGGCACTCTCAAGCTTACAGCCCCCTCTAGTGGGGCCCACAATAAGCTCTTCCATGGTCAAAACCTCAGTTGCTTTTAAGTGGTCTGGTTTCCAAGATCTGAATTAAGAGAAACTTTTGAGGAATATCTAACTCGACAAATTTGATCAACTTTGTCCACCACTCATTCAGACAAGGCATTAACATGCAGAATGTCACCACCTGGCATTTGTTATAGACGACAACCACCAATCATCAACTGCCAAACACCAACCACTGAAAACACCATTCACAAAAAAGTTTGAGATTATAACAATATGTCAAAGCTTGTGGTGGTTACTGAAAAATGAAATTTAGGATATTAAGTGCATCATATGGGGGAGGAAGGCTGTTTCAAATTTCTTTTTTGAAAAATTAAAACAATAGTTTTTTTTATTTTTTATTTTTTTTATTTATTTATTTAGTATTTAAGTCAGTGGCTCGGTCAACTTGACATTATGAGCCATTTTTACAGAAATATAGGAGTTGACGTACATCGGTGTTACATAGTTGAAGGTATACAGCCAAGTGAGGCTCGCACGACTAGTAGCATGTTGGTGGTGCTCTAAAGAATGGTTCAGCGGTTAGAAAATGCTATGTCTAGATATTCAGCAAATGATTTGATGATACATGAATTTTCATTTTTATTACAGAGATGATGACCAAATAGTAAAGTGTTAGCCTTATTGGCTCGAGTTAAAGAGTTAAACTTTATCATTGGATTTTCACGTGTTATTTTATCATTAAGCAACTTGAAATCATCTACATGGAGGGGGCATCTGAAAAGAAAATGGTTGAGTGTTTCTGATTCTAGTTCGCAAGCGCACATTGGGGAATTAACATTGTTAAAATTATGTGAGTGTAGTTGCGCTTTGAGGACTAGGTCGCATCTGAGTTGGTTCAAGAGTTTTTCCCGATGTCTAGTAAGATTTAATGAAAAACTTGCTATTATAGGAGTTGGTAGTGATTTGGAGGCCATTTGACGTTTAAGAAAACAAAACAATAAAAAACAATAGTTCAAGTCAGCGTAGGTGATTAAAAACTGTATACAGTGAAATATTAAAACTACATTCAACTTACTCTTGTTTGTTTCCATCCAGAAAGATTTTGTTGACAAAAAAGTGACCCATAGTGTTTTCTTCTAGCTCCACCCACTTTAGCTCATCTGCAATAAAGCATACACTGTACATCAATCAAATATTAACCACACCTACTAAGATGGTGTTCTCTTCTAGCTCCACCCACTTAAGCTCATCTGCAATAAAGCATACACTGTACATCAATCAAATATTAACCACACCTACTAAGATGGTGTTCATTTCTAGCTCCACCCATTTTAGCTCATCTGCAATAAAGGATACACTGTACATCAATCAAATATTAACCACACCTACTAAGATGGTGTTCTCTTCTAGCTCCACCCACTTAAGCTCATCTGCAATAAAGCATTCACTGTACATCAATCAAATATTAACCACACCTACTAAGATGGTGTTCTCTTCTAGCTCCACCCATTTTAGCTCATCTGCAATAAAGGATACACTGTTCATCAATCAAATATTAACCTCACCTACTTTTAAAGATAGTGTTCTCTTTTTCTCCATTTACTTTAACATTAGCTCATCTCAACTAAACACAATGTTAATCAAAAAGTAGCCACACCCATTAAAAGAAATTAATTTTCTTCTAGCTTTACCAACTTAGATTTATCTGTAATGCTTCAGTCACATTTGATCTACAGCAACCATATGGCAACCGTAGCTTCCCAAAATCGAGAAAGATATGCAGCATAAAATATAGAGATAAGCATTACAATTTAGATTTTCTATATTGATTTTGTGAAGCTATGGCGTAGGGCAAATGTGAGAGGCTTAACATAACATTCAATCAAATATCAGTCAGTTCACTCAAGTGAATAAACCAAAAACAGAATACTGCCATGTCAATCAAACTTAAAATATTACTTTTTTACTCATTTATCCCAAAGGATGAGACATACCATTATCTGGTGGAGTATTAATATGAGTAATAAAAATGAAATCACAATAAACTGGGTGCTAATCATCTTGTTGAAATTAAAGAAAAGAGTTGAAAAAGTTGTAGAAATGTACCTTTTAATGTGCCAGGAATAATGTCAGGATGTTTTGCTGTCAGGGGTTGTTCCTGTTGTCCAGCTTTCTTTTCCTTATCATCTCCCTGATCTTCTTCATTAGGTTCCCCTTGGGCACTCCCATCCCCTCCTTGTTGCTTTGCATCACCCGTTGGCCCAAAGGATGGAGTGGCTTGGGTGTCTGAATACATTGGATATTGTTGTCTGTTGTCTCCATGGTGAGTAACATTCATGTTGTTCTTAGCAACAGGGTTTTGAGCCTCTGAATATTGATCTCTGTTGTCTCCATGGTGATTGGCATTTGTGATTGTATTTACAATAGAGTTTAGAGATTCGTTATATTCTGGGTATTGCTGAGCAAGGTCCATATTGTCATTGGAGTTAATGTTGCTCTTAATGATTGGTTTTAATGCACCGATATGTCCCCCTTTAAACTGGGCTTCTCGTGAATATGAAGAATATTGGTCCTGTTCTATGGAGATTCCTTGATTTGCATTCATCTTCCCATTGTATTGCTGCATTGTCTCTGGATATGCATGTTCCACCCCTGGGAATGAATTGGCCCCTGGAGAAGTGTTCACTTCTGGATATGGATTCCCAGTCCCTGGATCTGTAATCATTCCTGGAAATGGTGTTGTAAGCCCTGGATACTGACCTCTGACCTTGAACCCTGGAACTGTACTGGTACCTGGAGCTGTACTATTTCCCGTATGTGGAATACTGTGACCTGGATATGAGCTCTTCACGCCTGGAAACAGGGGTCTTACGGTTGAGCTGTAATCAGTAGCACCTTGACTGGTGTTCATTTGGTTCAATGTTTGTTCATAAAGACTTCTATTTGTAAGTTCTCTTACAGGACTCCGTTTTACACCTGCAAAATACAAGTTATACATACTGTACCATTGCTGTTTTAGACAGTAGACACCCAGTTCATAACAATTTACTAAGGCCTTGACTTGAATCCTTTAACATTGCATATTAAATGAACAGACAAACAAACAATAGCCAAAGTTCTTTGTATCTAATGTGGAAAATCATAAAAAATGGAAAAATATTTCATGAAGGCAAAATTTCCATATTTTTGGTCAGAAATAGAACAGAAACTCACTTGATTCTATAATATTTCCTCGTCCTAGTGATCTGGGAGGGGAAATGCAATTGTGTGACATTGATTGTGATGAATGCACTGGTTGTGTTGGATCCATTGAGATTGGTTGTCTTGGATGTGTTAATTGTGTTGGTTGTGCTGATTGTCCAAGATGTGTGGCTTGCGTCACTGCCTCGATGATCTTCAACTGGCTCTCTAGAAGTTCCTTTTGTGACATTTTCCCTAACTGAGAACTGATGCTACCAATTCCAAGAGAGCCATTAGAATTGCCATTAATATTTGCAGAAATTCCCAAAGATTCTGTAGCATTCTCTTTTTGCTTAGCCGAGTGAAATAACTGTTCGATATTTATTTTTGATTGAATTGAAGACTGCCCATGTTGGTTACTTGAATCTGGCAAAATGGGAGTCTGTTTTTGTTCTTGGAAGGTCCCTGCAGTCTCAAGTAGTCTCATTGCTTTTGCAAGTTCATCACTGGGGGTTTTCTTTGTTGAATGGTTGCTATGGTGATGGGCTTCATGTTGATTATTGAGATTTTTCGAAACTTTAGGATTCCGATTGGTTCCTTGTTGCCATGTTGATATCTCTGGTTGCTGTGGCAAGGATGGTTGTTGTTGTGGTTGCCATGGCACTGTGTTGGTTGGTGCTGTTTGTCGCCAATGTAATGCACCATTGCTGTTGTTTTGAGGATTCATCTTTGGGTGTGAAACCTGGAAAATTTGAAAAATCTAGCAATCTGATTGAGTACCCAGTAAGTGATGGTCCTTAGTATTTGTTTGTATAGTTAAGAGAATGGGTACAGCAGACTGAGACACAAATGAAAATGGCATTAACATGCAAAATGTCACCATCTGCTATGTGTTACAGACATCTAAAAAGATTAAAGTACAAGAGTATTTTGAAAGTTGAAGGTAGTTGTTCTGAAATATTCACTAAAGTGAACGCTTCAGCAAGATGAGATTGCCAAAATTTTCTTTCCTAAGGAAGTATGTAATCCTGGAAGTTTTGAAATTTGAGTATGCATGCGCACATTGCCAAATAGCAATCTGCCGGAGATTCGATTTTTACTTACAAGTGACAGTCTCATTCGAACTCCCTTGCAGTGTCTCGGTATAGACATTGCGGCGGGCAGATGAAGAAAATCCCCAAAATTTGGGGAAAATAGTTCCCCTTTTCATCATATATGTGGTCAATTTTCACATAACTTATAAAATATGTACTCATGAATGTTCCCAAAACATTATTTTGTCAAAATATTTCAAAATTATTGAAATATGAGAAGAAATCACCTCGGAAGGAATTCTGAGTAAAAGTTGTGTTGATAATAGTTTACCGCACGTGTTGTTGCGCAATTCAACCAATGAAATTGTCAACATTTTACAATCACACGACCCGAGCATGGGACTAGAACCAATCACGTCAGTTATTTATTACGAAGTTACCATGCTTACGGTGAGATACCTGCCCGCTGCAGTGATATATCACTGCACGGGAGTTCGAGTCATTCTTTAGTCTTATTTTTCACTGTCATTTATTGTCAGAAAAGACATGGCTCTGAGTTTACACTTCAATTGTGCTGTCAATTCATCTTCGATATTTTGAGTAAAGATTTTTTCGGCTAAGAAATCAGAGTCTGAATGGCAGGAAAGAGAAAGTGAAACTGAAAACTTTGTCAGAAAATTATTGAAAATTGACGCCAGATTTGACTGCCTTTTATTTGAGAAATGCAGACTGCTAAAGACACATTTCATATACAAAGTATGACACATTTATAAAGCTATGTATGTATCGTTTTGAAAATCTATTTACTTCAATATTTTCTACGGAATAAGCAAAATTGTACCTCAGCATTTAGAAAATCTCTCTCCATGTTGTAGGCTAATTTCCCAGAATGCAGTTTTCAAAATGGCGCTGCTCACAAAAATTCATTTTTCAAAATTTCTCAGGTTTAACAGCGATTTGATACTACCTAGGTATGTATGATTGCATAAAACATATGCCAAAAGGTATGAAGTTATATCGTTTTGTATGATTATCGTGAGAATTCGCCCGGTTACCTTTTCATTTAACGTTCAATCAGTGAAAATGATATGAAATTTTACTTTTTCACATATTATCGCCCATAGTTATATCATCATGATATTTCATCATGATACTATGAAGAAACATACATAAGGGTTATGTACTGGGAGGTTTTGGATATGGGGTTTTTCCAGAGGGAGATATGCATATCTACCTGAGGGACCGCAGGGACCAAAGGTAGATGTGCATATCTCACGAGGGATGAACCCAATATCCAAACCGACCGTACATAACTGCTTTTTCCCATACCAAGTAGAGTCTTCTAATTTTCTTTCAATTTTTTTCACATTTTTCAATTTTTTTTTCAATCTTTTCAATTCTTTTTTCTATTTTTTTTTATTTTTTTCAATTTTTTCTTTTTTTTCAATTTTTCTAATTATTTTTCGAAGTGGGAAGATATGCCCTGGAGCGGGAGATATGGTGGGAGATATGGAGGTTCAGGATATGGAAACCTCAAAATCAGGATACGGGATATATCTTACCAACTTATCTCCCTAAAACTCTACTTGGCATAGGATAAAGACACATACTTACTATATACTCTATGATATAGTCTAATTGTATGTAATCACACCAATTTTACATATTTTAGCATTGATGCTGTTTACTGTTATCATGGGCTTTCAATATTGAATGACAATGCTTATCTGTATCTTGAGTAGTGTTGTCGCGATGTTTCATAATCGTACATCGATGCATCGGCAATTTTCAGTAGTAAACATCGATGCACATCGCGATGTACATCGAGAAAAAGTCTGAGAAAAATTTTATAAAAACATCAATGTTTTGTTTCAGACATCAATGCATCGCCAGAATCAGCTTTGGCGATGTATATCGCGATGTATCGATTAATCGCGACAACACTAATGTAGAGTCCATTTCACTGCTTCATTGCGTCAGTAGAACGAAAAAATAAGAAATTGGGAGACCATTGTGCAATAATATATGGAAAAGTATATTCATAATGTACATGAATGACATTTGTATATTTCAGATTTTTTAGTTTTTTGTGCAATAAGCCTGTGACCTCGTGTAATTTGAAGAATTTCAGCCATGTTAATCTCATTGAAAATAACATGGCAGAGAAGCATCCAAATATAAGAGGCCACACACTTTATAAGCCAAACTAGAAGCAATCCAAGATATACAAATGTCATTCATGTACAATAGGAATATATTTTTCCATATATTATTGCAAAATGATATTTTGATTTCTTATTTTTTAGCTTTTACTGACGCAGTTAAACAGTGAAATGGACTCTAGTACATGTATCAAGACCAAAATGCATATATTCACTACTTGCTTGGTTGAATATATTAAATTAGAATACTAATCCCAGCTACATGTATAAGTAAGGAATAGGGTCATTGTTTTGTAAAATGACACTGTATGATCAATTGAGCATGGTTCAATTCATCAAAGTGTGAAAAATATCTTACGTTGACTGTACAAATATTGCCTATAAATTCTACACTGGTGACTCTGTATCTTCAAATGTTAAGTACAGCATGTAATATACTAGTAAATGGTACGGTATATGCATTTCAGATTGAAAGATTCATCCCCATTATATACATGGTCGACAAACAGGGTTTGCAACAGATGCAAAAATGCTGGCTCCCTCCACAAATATGCAACAAGAGGTTTTCGTTCAGTGTCAAAAACTCAAAAGGAACCAAGTAAATGGAGATTACTGAGAGGTCCTTTAGCTTTCACGACATTGGTAGGTTGCTTTTTGCCAATATCATATTATTTTTAGATCGCAATTGTAAGCCTATTTGACAACAGTGTGAAAGAATAAGGCCCTTTATTCCTAAATAACAATGAGAATGGATGGGGTCCTTTAATTCCGAAAGAACAATGAGAATGAGAAAGGATGAGGTCCTTGTCACAGTTTGTAGCTAAATGTGTTGATCAATTTTCTAAGTGTAACTTATCCTTTCAAATTCTTAGGCTAAAGTGTGCCTTGTCCTTTAAATAGTTTTATTCTTATGAACTTTCAACTTTACCATGCAATATGCATACTCACTTAAATATGTATGTTCACTAAAGCGTAAGAAACCATATATACAGGGTGGGCCAAAAAAAACGCCACTTTTTTTCAAAATGCTATAACTTTTTTAATTTTTGATATTAAATCATAATTTGCATACCAAATGAACCTTGAGGTTGTTATCTAGCCATTTATCATGAATTATACTTTTTTACTTGAATAAAATATGTCACTAGCGTCTCACGTAAACATGTGGTGTGCCATGAGAAATAAGCATAATTTGCAATATGTTCCTGAACTGAAACGGCCTTATGATCGCCAAGCTAATAGCCCTGATGCAAACCCCAGTGAGTATAGGGTATGGAAAGGTCTCAGGCCCGTAGCCAGGATTTGCCAAGGGGGGGTTCAGTTTTCAAAAATTTCCAGGGGGGAATTTTTTTTGGCCCACCCTGTAGATATGTATTGGATATTACAGGGAGTGGATTTTTAGTTAGAGAGTTTTGGAGGAGTCAAGTAGAGAGAGAATAAAATGTAGACATTGAAAAGGACCGTAAAAATTAGATTACAAAAGTTGATATTTTATATATAGTTGTGACTCAAAAATGACATTTTAATGATTTTATACATAATTGTGATGAGATAAACACTACATGAATATGGAGTCATGACATATAATAGGATAAACAATGATTCATCAACCGTAAACATTTGCAAATTCTCCAACTTTTGAAAGTTACATCACTGGATCAATCATCTTTTATTTTCATCATGATCGTTCGGTCTTTTGCGATTGCTATGGGACGATTGCTGCAATATTTTAAGTGGAATAATGATTTACAGAAAGTGCTTGCTTGGAATTTGTGCATTGTGGTTATTCTTCAGACGGACTTGTGGAATAACATTGTGATATTACCGGTACAAATCAGTGGATAAAGGTTTGCCGTAGTGATATTTTGTGAAGTCGCAGAGGTCCAAGGAGTACTGTGTAAACTTGCGAAGTACTGCAAGTTTGTGTAGTGAATTGTAAAGGAAATGGAATCCTAACCCATACGAATTTGGAGTGATCTCACGGTATTGTGGAAGTGCGAATTAAACTCGATGTTAATTTCGGTGATTCCCATGTTTTGACTGTATCAATTAAAGAAATGGATAAAGGTTGAACTTTGTGAAGTGAACTCCTCTTCATAATAATTGTGATGTAGAACATTTTAATCATATCTCAATATAATTTATGAAATTCACTAAATTATTGAGTCTGTTAACTTATCTAAGTAAAATTGAACCTTGAAAATGTGACAGTCCTTTTGTTCTTAAAGAACATTGAGAAGTATGAGACCCTTTAATTCTTAAAGAACATTGAGAAAGGATGAAGTCCTTTAATTCATAGAGAACAATGAGAACGAGGAAGGATGAGGCCCTTTAGTTTCTAAAGAACAATGAGAAAGGACGAGACCTTGTAATTCTTAAAGAACAATGAGAAAGGATAAGGCCTTTTAATTCTTAAAAATAATGAGAACAAGAAAGGATGAGGCCCTTTAAATCCTAAAGAACATTGAAAATGAGAAAGGTTGAGGCCCTTTTAAATCCTAAAGAACATTGAAAACGAGAAAGGTTGAGGCCCTTTTAAATCCTAAAGAACATTGAAAACGAGAAAGGTTGAGGCCCTTTAATTCTTAAAAAATAATGGGAACGAGAAAGGACGAGGCCCTTTAATTCTTAAAGAACAATGAAAAAGGATGAGGTTTCTAATGAAAAAATGAGGTCCTCTATTTCTTCAATATCATTGTGTTAGGATTGTCCTCTGTTGTCCTCCTTTCTGATCAGTAAAAGAACAATGTTGAAAAACGAGGTCCTCTATTTCTTCAAATACATAATGAAAGTACAAGGTCTTTTATTTCTTTAGGTGACCTGCGGGAGTTTCACTGGCTGTTCCATTCTACAATATGAAAGAATGAGATCTCAGGCTGAAAACTATTTGAAGGGTGCAAAGAATTCAGCAGATAATTTATTCAGAAAATCTGGAAGTTTTCGTGAACATGTAAGTAATACAAGGGGGAGTCATGGGTATGATTTAGAGTAGAATGACTTCTTTACATCAGCACTTAGTGCAGAATTTCATTCTGCGTTTTCAATAACCTCTTGATCACCCAGAGTGACGAGATTTATCGTCACCTTAGAAATGACCTTGAAACCCAGAATGACGAGATTATCTGTCACAATTTTTTCACTAGAATTACTCTAATTTGAACAATGTTTTAAAATGTTAATTTCCTTAAGATGAGCATCACCTGTTGTATATGTATGTAGTAAAATGTCAAAAGCGGGCAAAATGAAAAATTCTCTGGTTTCAAACTGATTTTAGAGCCTGAGATTCAAGAGATTAACCATTATATTTTTCTTAATGATTAATTTTTAACACTTTTCTCAACTGTACTGAACTTTTACTCATGTTATATTAGCATGCTAAGCTTTCCAATGGTAGATTAGCCATTAACCATGAAGGATTATGTCTAAAGTTGATTTTGTACATGTGGGACATTCCATGCAAATTCAACCACTGGTACCCAGTTCAATAATTTTTATATGAAAACTAAATGTATGTAAGATTATTGGATACATTTACCTCAAAATAATATTATCACAAAGGAAAAATTGTGAAATGAAATGTTTGACTGAAATAAGTAGAATTAGAAATTTGCACACTTTTGATTAAAAACTGGGGACTTCTGAGGAAATTTATAACTGACTTGATTTATATAGCAAGGATGAAGTAGATTATTAGTACTTGCCCATAGCCAATAGATGCTTTTCCATATCCCCGGGGAGTTAGTTCTTTTACCAAGGTTTTTGACAAGGGGGAAGCTATTTTGACAGTTTTGGCTAAAACGTGCAAAAAGAGCTCAGAATGGTGAAAAGCTACATGTTCTTGAAAGAATATCTAGCCAGGGGGAAGCTGGGGGAGCCTATTGTGTATACAGTGGATTGTTTTTATATATTTAGATGAACCATTACTGGTCTAACTTGTCTCCGGGAAAGAAAATGGTTGCTGGTATAATAGGAATAAACAGCCTCGTTTTCCTTTTATGGCGAATCCCTGCTGCTCAGGGACTCATGATGCGATACTTTCTGTCATCGCCATTTATGGGTAAGTGATGATCAGTCATTGTTGAGTTTCAAAATTGGAAATTCCAATAGTTACCGAGGAGGATTGGCGGCCATTATTCTAACTCCATACTCTGTTGCCTGCAGTAGAACAAAATTAGTAAAAATATTTCTATAAGGTTCTCTTTGAACCAAGTATTTCGTTGAATGATGGTTATTACGAATATTTTGGTAGTATTCAAGCTTCCTCAGCAGTTCTAGTCTCCAAGATTTGAGTAATATTGTTACCAAATTGGTCTATGCCGGGCAAAGGAGTATCGAGTTTGATTAAGGGCTTCCAATCCTACTTGCATAGTTACTTTGTACCGATGACGTCACACATCTGTGTGCAAGTAGAATTTGATAGAAATAAAACATGATGTCATGATATTGTCATGGTTATTGTCATGAACGTGGGCTATATCAAAAGTGCCAGAATACTGGTAGATATTTACCAATCTATTTTTCCATTGACTTCCATACAAATGCTTGGCTAGATATGTCTTAAATTTCCAGGTGCCTCTTCACTCTCCATGCTGGGTTCAGTTTTCACTTTGGTGCCGACATGTATGTGCTGTGGTCATACGATCACTGCTGTCATTTATTAAACCCTGCTATTATGGTGTCTTATATTTCCAGGTGCCTCTTCACTCTCCATGCTGGGTTCAGTTTTCAGCCATAGAGGTTTGTTCCACTTTTGTGCCAACATGTATGTGTTGTGGTCATTCAATCACTGCTGTCATTTATTAAACCCTGCTATTATGGTGTCTTATATTTCCATGTGCCTCTTCACTCTCTATGCTGGGTTCAGTTTTCAGCCATAGGGGTTTATTCCACTTTTGTGCCAACATGTATGTGCTGTGGTCATTTGCTGATGTCATTTATTTAACCCTGCTATTATGGTGTCTTATATTTCCAGGTGCCTCTTCACTCTCCATGCTGGGTTCAGTTTTCAGCCATAGGGGTTATTCCACGTTGGTGCCAACATGTATGTACTATGTTCATTCACTGATGTCATTTAATTAACCCTGCTATTATGGTGTCTTATATTTCCAGGTGCCTCTTCACTCTCCATGCTGGGTTCAGTTTTCAGCCATAGGGGTTTATTCCACTTTGGTGCCAACATGTATGTACTATGTTCATTCACTGATGTCATTTATTTAACCCTGCTATTATGGTGTCTTATATTTCCAGGTGCCTTTTCACTCTCAATGCTGGGTCCAGTTTTCTGCCATACTGGTTTTTTCCACTTTGGTGCCAACATGTATGTGCTGTGGTCATTCACTGATGTAATTTATTGAACCCTGCTATCATGGTGTCTTATATTTCCAGGTGCCTCTTCACTCTCCATGCTGGGTTCAGTTTTCAGCCATAGGGGTTTATTCCACTTTGGTGCCAACATGTATGTGCTGTGGTCATTCACTGATGTCATTTATTGAACCCTGCTATTATGGTGTCTTATATTTCCAGGTGCTTCATCACTCTCCATGCTGGGTTCAGTTTTCAGCCATAGGGGTTTATTCCACTTTGGTGCCAACATGTATGTGCTGTGGTCATTCACGGATGTCATAGAACAAACCCTGGGCAAGGAGCAGTTCTTAGCTGTGTACCTTTCAGCAGGTAGGTATTAACCTTTCAAAAACTGGATTGTTTCCCCCAAAATAATATACAGTAAAACCTGTATATTCAAACACTTCTTTACCTGAACACCTCTCAATATGAAAAGTTTTACTCAGTCCCATTTTGTCATCTCTCATTGACTTATATATTAAAAGACCTTGAAATGTGAACACCTGCTGTATCTGAACACTTTTGGCTAGTTTGAGTGGTGTTCGGATTAGGCAGGTTTTACTGTATTATATTTGCTATCAATTATCATGCTTGATTATTGAAAATAATTTCAGTATCCATGTATCAAGGGGGTAATATTATGGTTTCCATCCTACCTACAAGGGTTCACCTTAAACCTACAATTATAACAGTGATCTCCCCATCATTAAAACAAGTGGGTGCAGCACCCACCTGAGATTTTTAAAACAGATTTCCACCAACCTGAAAATCCATTTGCACCCACTTAAAAATGAGAAAAACCATGAAAAATTGGTATTTTTTGACCAAATTGTGGTCTGAATTGTGAAAATGAGAATTTTGCATCCACTTGTGAAAAACTTCTCTGGAGAACACTGGATTACGATATACTAAACTAGTAACTATAGTATCTTTATACAATTGAGTAATCTGATGCCCAGGCTTAATCCATGGCACAAGCCATAATGGTTTCAAAGATAAAATCTTGTCCTGGTTTTTATGTCACCGCGAAAAAGTGGTGATATATTGTTATGGTCTCCATTTTTTGTGATGGTGGTTTGCGATCGGCGGTTAGCAATCTGCAGTTGGCGATAGGTGTCTGTAACAATATTGTGAGCAACTAAGTGGTGATATTTTGTCATGTTAATGCCTTGTTTAAAAACTTCACATTTAAACAGTCATTCATGTACATTGTACTAAGAAATTCTCCATCTAAAATGTCACTCGACTTTTTTGTGATTATGAGTCAAAGAAAGCAAATTGACTTCTGTGGTAACTTGAAACCATCTTCTAATTTATTCCACTTACCTTTTATTGTTTCTCCAAATATATTCTTTGAAAATCGGATTTTAAGGGTGATAATCAGGGTAATTCTGTGCCATTTTATCAAAAATCTTGTTGCTATCTAGAAACAAGCAATTGTGATCTTGTTGTTACCTAGGAACGAGCAACTGTCACGTCACACTCATGTTAATTCTGGAATCACATGGCAGCCATTTTGGAAATTTCAAAAAAGTTCCCAATTAAAAAGGCTAAATGCTGTTTACAAATTGGAAACTATGGCAGAATCAACAAAGGGTTTGTGAAATAATTAGGATATGGTTTCAAAATTATGCACATGACAATATATGACTACTTAATGCAGGCAGGGACTTTTAGTTGCCAAAAAGTCGAGTGACATTTTAGAGAGAAATTCTTAGGCTACTCTATTGACTATATTTTGTATTGAAATAAATATCTTTTGATTGAAAATACATATTTATACTTGTGTACTTTTCCAGGAGTGATTTCCTCATTTACCAGTTATGCCTACAAGGTTGCTAGGATGAGCACAATACCATCACTAGGAGCAGTAAGTTTGTTATGTTATGTATGTAACCATGGTAACACATATTTGTTTTGCCCAAATGTTAAATTGGTTTATCAAGAAGAGGTGATTTATTATTTGCATAGTCCGTTTTTCTGTTGTTACAATTTTCCATAAGGCAGGTTATTCTGTTGAATATAATTTTTTTAAATATCTTATTACAATAAAATAAATTAGACTTCCTCTTGTTTTATCATAGTATTATCTCAAAGATCAACCTGTCTTAATTATTGCCTCGTCTGTTTTATTTGTAGTCAGGGGCAGTTATAGCACTAATAGGAATGACTTGTATACAGTACCCCAATGCACAACTCAGTATATCTTGTCTGTTTTATTTGTAGTCAGGGGCAGTTATAGCACTAATAGGAATGACTTGTATACAGTACCCCAAAGCACAACTCAGTATAGCGTTCATAGGAGACATCATACCTCACTCATTCTCCGCTCAAAGTGTAAGTGAATTTTATAGCCGTTATAGTGATACCCTTCTCCAGAGGTAGATTTTATAAAACTCTTTATATGAGCCATGACTCTTAAAACTGGCCTACATCCAATCAGAATATGTTTTTTAAAAACATGACTATATTTGGGGCATTTAAGAAGCAGACATTTATATACAGTAAAACTTATTAAGTGGAACACCTCTATAAGTGGAACACTTTTCAAAGTGGATCATTATTATGATGTTTCGATTTGTTCCACTTACACAGGTTTCACTTTATGCATTTGAGATTCCTAAGATCACCAAATTGATATTATCAGTTATCACACGTTTCAGCATGTGATACAGGAAATATTACATGAAAGGTAATACTGTATCATCCACGAAAGCGAAGCTTGAGTGGTGATACATTCTTACCCGAGTGGAATATTTCCTGTATCACATAAGCTGAAACGTGTGATGACGATTTTATCACATGTCTTGGAATGTTGAATTGAAGCATTTTGATTTGGTCAATATGATTGTGTTCAGTACTCTGTACTACCGGTAACTATTATAATTTTGTATGTTTTGAAAGTTCGCATTGAAATAATATGACGTCATACTGTTGTATTCGTACTTGTTAGTGAAATAACATGACGTCATACTGTTTTCTTTAGCTACGAAGTGATATAACCAGTGACGTCATATCATTACTATTGACTCCGTAATACAGCCTACCGTATCACATGAAAATTAGTCACGTGTCATGTGATACGGAATATACATTGTCACAATTGACCAATCAAAATGCTTATAAACATCTAACCATGTGATAATATTAAGTACATGTACTGTTATTTACTAAAATTTCAATTTTTCAAGTTTATTTAAACTAAAATTATAGTGCCCCTTTAAGTGGGCTTTTAAGTGGGTAAGTTGATTGGCAAGGGTTGTATAACTGTTGATTATGGTAGTTAACACTTGTATTTATGATTTTAGGCAATGATAGGCTTACTAGCACTGGACACAATGGGAGTTCTAATGAGGTGGAAACTGTTTGATCATGCAGTGCATTTATGAGAAATGTTAATTTGTATTTTTGATTGTAGGCAATGATAGGCTTACTAGCATTGGACACAATGGGAGTTCTAATGAGGTGGAAGCTGTTTGATCATGCAGTGCATTTATGAGAAATGTTAATTTGTATTTTTGATTTAAAGGCAATGATAGGCTTACTAGCACTGGACACAATGGGAGTTCTAATGAGGTGGAAACTGTTTGATCATGCAGTGCATTTAGGAGAAATGTTAATTTGTATTTTTGATTGTAGGCAATGATAGGCTTACTAGCATTGGACACAATGGGAGTTCTAATGAGGTGGAAACTGTTTGATCATGCAGTGCATTTAGGAGAAATGTTTTTTTGTATTTTTGATTTTAGGCAATGATAGGCTTACTAGCATTGGACACAATGGGAGTTCTAATGAGGTGGAAACTATTTGATCATGCATTGCATTTAGGAGAAATGTTAATTTGTATTTTTGATTGTAGGCAATGATAGGCTTACTAGCATTGGACACAATGGGAGTTCTAATGAGATGGAAACTGTTTGATCATGCAGTGCATTTAGGAGAAATGTTAATTTGTATTTATGATTGTAGGCAATGATAGGCTTACTAGCATTGGACACAATGGGAGTTCTAATGAGGTGGAAACTGTTTGATCATGCAGTGCATTTAGGAGAAATGTTTATTTGTATTTATGATTTTAGGCAATGATAGGCTTACTAGCATTGGACACAATGGGAGTCTTGATGAGGTGGAAACTGTTTGATCATGCGGCTCATTTAGGAGGAATGTTATTTGGAATGTAAGCAAAATTTGATACTTTTTATGTTGTCATCATAAAATGTTCATTTTACGTCATCACTATGAAACAGTGACAAGTTAAATAAAATCCACCATTTTTGACATCCTGAAAATGAGAATTAACTTGATGGAAAAATCATGGTGGGGACATAGCAATTTGACTCTAGACCCAGTGCAACTGGACATGTACAGTAAAACCAGTATATTGTGAACACCTATGGAGCCACAAAAAGGTGTTCAGTGTTGTTAGGTGTTCAATACAGAGAGGGGATTTTAAACAGGAGTCATTGTAAAACATGTCTTGAAGAAGTGTTCACTAAACACAGGTGTTCATGAGAGAGAAGTGTTCAATAAGACAGGTCTTATATTACTGTATGTTCATAATGGCCATAAAATTGTGACCATTTGGAACAGACTGATGGGGCTATTGTACTGTATGTTATATAAATAATCTTGTCTTATTTTTTCAGTTGGTATATAAGCTATGGCAAGGACATTATTTGGAAAGGAAGGGAACCATTGATAAAGTACTGGCATAAAATTAGAGGAAACATCAAACGATGACAAACTTTGAACAATAGAAAATATCATGATGGTTATGTTTCGAAATGCAAATTAGAGCGGAGAAGAGTGGAATTAGCAAGGAATAAAGTAAACAGGCATGTAGTCCATACTCTAAATTGTATAGAAATCCAAGAAAATCAAACAGTTCATTCAAATTATGGAGAGAAATGAGAGGAATTAGCAAGGAATAAAGTAAATAGGCATGTAGTCAGTACTCTAAATTGTATGGAAATGCAAGAAAATCAAGCAGTTCATTCAAATTTTAGAGAGAAATGAGAGGAATTAGCAAGGAATAAAGTAAACAGGCATGTAGTCAACACTTTAAATTGTATAGAAATGTCAGGAAATCATACACTTTATTCAAATTTTAGAGAGAAATGAGAGGAATTAGCAAGGAATAAAGTAAACAGGCATATAGTAAATACTCTAAATTGTATAGAAATGCAAGAAAATCAAGCAGTTCATTCTAACTATGGGGAGAAAATGGCTAGTGAATAGGAATGGACTCTCACACGTGGGTAACAATTCAACAATTTCAGTTTGCCTTTCCTTGTCTGCCGACTGGTGTACTTGTTCAAATTACCAGACAAAAGGATTCGATCCACTTTCATTATTAAGAACTTTATTTCAACCTAGATGTGCATTTCTACTGCCACTATATCAAATTCATTGAAACAGCTGAGACTGCTGTCATTTCACTGTTCATTGTGGAAAATTGGGTTTCAATGTGATTTGAGGTTATCAGTAGAGAATAACATTTTGCCAAAGAGACAACTGTACTAGAGTTTCTCCCTTATATGTATGACCACTGGATATTTAATGCATTGTTGTTTATTTGAAAACACTTGGAAAGAATGCTTGCTTTTTCGATATTTTATGAAATGAAATTATTAGACATTTCCTTCACAATGGGCTTCATATGGCAGTGTTCTCTCAAAAATTCAACTGGGGGCAAATTCAAGACTGAAAAATTGGCTTTGGTTTCAAGTAGGGGGCCCCCCGGTAAAAGTGACATGGGGAGATCACTGTATGGCTGTCAAAAGATGGCAGCACTGCGTTCGATTATAAATAACTGCAGTTTTTATCGAGCAAATCATATTTTGTAAGCTTTCTGTTTGAATTGAATTCAATGTAAAATCTGAACATTTACTTCCTTCTTTCGTTTCTTGAGAATACCCAGTCACCTGAACTGCCCTATTCAACTATCAATTTGAATGATCATTTGGTATAAATATCAACATGGCATCTCCCATGTTATTGTTACAGATGAGTTCAAGATTTATTTTTTTCCACCAAAATAACTTTATGCACTTGTTAAACAGTTAAAATGTCTGTTGATGTAAATATGAATGGACAGGGTGATAGTTTGAAAAAAAAGTATGTAACTAACTAAAAAACAACAGAGGAATAGCCCTTTATTTGTGGATACAAAATTCTCCAAGACAGATATATTTTACAAAACATGCCAATTAATTTTGTTAAAAAAATAACTTTATTATTTATACTGTAATATTATATGATAATAATAAATATTGGATATACTATTTAACTGTTAATTTATCTCATGTTAAATATATGATAATGCTTAATAATGTGACAAAATTGATATATCCATGTATAATATCCTATTAACAACCCTATAGGAAATATCATTCTATACATTTCTGTGAAAAATATGGAAATATAATGACATATACACCCCCTCCAAAAGTTTGGCAACTGTAAGTCGTCCTTTGACCACGAGTTAAGGCCTGTTAATTTCATGTCCTTTTATGGAGCCATTAAAGGCATGAATTCTTAAAATTGAAGAACAAAGTTGAAAATCAAATATAATCTGACTATAGCACAAAATCTAATGGGAATTCTAAAATAAAGGGGTTGGTATCTAATGAGAACTTTAGGTTGCCAAACTTTTGGAGGGGAGTGTAAATACAAATGTCAGGAAAAATATAGAACTATTTTTGCTTGCCTGGTTTAAGAGACCATGATTTTCAGAGTCACCCCAATTGGGCACATGCTTAAATGCTTATCCAATGCAACGTGACCCAAAAAATCAAACCCTCAAATTAGAAATAACTCAATTACCGTATGCATCTTTATTTTGTTTAACATGCATCGCGGGCACTCTACCTACCTACACAAGAAATTTCAAGATTTCAATTTCATTGACCAGAATTTTTTCATGGATTAACACTAATTTATCATAATCAATGAACAACTACCAAAAATATAACAAAAGAAAGTCCAAGCAAAAAATGAAAGCACTGAAAACCCATTTTCCACAAACTAATAAAAGTACAATAAAACCTATGTATTATGATCACAAAACAGCGTTGTGCCATTACTCTAAGTGCAAGAAAATAAATACCAAAAATTAACTTGGTTGTACTGTAGACTATATACTGTATGATACGCTGTTTTACCCGTTTCACATATAGTAGTTTGGTGATTTGTGAATATATTAATGATCTTTCATGATTAGACCAATCAAGAAAAGCGTGACATCTGTTTTTCATGACCTCATATAATCATGTGGAGTACTAATAAATATATATGAGTGGGTCTCTAGCAATTCTTGGAACTGTAATTACAGTAAGTCTAAATGTCCTAAGAGAAATCCATGTTCAAAATCTTTGGTCTGGTCTAAACATGAGACTTCAAAAAAACAATTTTACATGTACAGTGTAACGATTTCAAATAATAATAAACATGTATTAAATGTCCTTAAAAAATGAAACAATTTTCAAAATTGTAACAATTTTTACAACATATTTGAAATGAAAATCGAAAATATTTATTTATTTATTTATTTATTTAAAGTGTCACTTGTATCATATCATACAACCAGCCCTATCTGGGCTTATGAGACACATTTGAACATTTTAAAATAATAACTAGTTATTGTTTAAAAATAAAAATATTGCAATAACCCTCCTAATGAAAACTGCATCAGCTGTAGATTCTGATTCCAAAATTTTTGTCCATTTTTAGCGGAATTGAGCTGGATAGTGCTGACACTTCCCAATAGAGGGAGCGTGAAAGGAACAGCCTGTAGAGAAATAATATTGCGACATTCTGACAAATCACCATCCCCATTACAATGAACTGAAATAGAAAAATAACATATTTATCAATTTCATAGACCCAATGTCCGAAAATAAGATTTGAAAACAACTTGAAAAAAATATTGGAATGAAAAATTAAATATACTTTCTATGACTGACCCTATTTTATTGTAAAATTGATGTTACCTTAATTTCTATTTAAGATGGCTTAACCTCATTTACTGAATTACTTAATTTGTTCAAAAAGTAAACAATGTAACACTACCTTGTATCTAAGGTAAGCTGTGAGAAGCCACGAAGACACTACTAGTACAGGGTAACACAGAAACCATAAAAGGCAGCTCTGAAATAAACAACAACATTACGGGGTGTTCCATTTTTGTAGTACATTTCTGATCTTGCATTTAATGGCCCAGTGATAGTATAAATCAAGTACTATCAGACTATACAAAACTAGTATAACGAAATTCAGTTTAATCCGTCAATATTTAACAGGTCTATCAAGGTAAGAGCCCCCAAAACAATGTAAACATCCAAAAAATATTCAATACATAGTTAAGTAATCCTCGTGCTTTGTAACTTTCTTACTGCAATGTATTTGGAAATAATGTTTACAACCCCTCCCCACATTTCAAGTATAAGGACTGTAACAAAGCATTAACATGCAAAATACCACCACATGTCATTTGTTACAGATAAAAACCAATGAACACCAACCACCAAATGCCGAACACAAACTGTTGAACACCATCCACAAAAAAATGAAGACTATAACAATATTTCACCACTTCTAAGGTGATATCAAAAAGTGGAAACATACATAGATGTAATACTTGTCGTTATTTACCTTTGAGAAACTAGCGTAAAACTCTCGCTTTAGGGTACTTCTTTCCTTGGTGACAGTTGTGTAAAGATTACAGGAAAAAAGCACTGCTAGGGTGATGCGAACTAATAGGAGTAAGAACCCCGCAGTTGAACGGTGGGCGTGGTAGATCCTAAACTCTTGATCCTCATTCTGTTCCCATAGAAACAAAAGACCCTGAAAATAAAATAAAATATTTTCTTGCTTAAATGTTTTTTATATTTATTTGATTAGGTAATAAACAAATAAAGAATATTTGGAGTATTTACTGTTCGAGGGGTGTTCAATAAGTTTTTTCTTAATCCAAACTTTGCTTCAAATATAACTAATAATAGGCTGCATCATCCGCATCAAGATTGACTAAAATTACTGTGTATTAAGAGTATGTATGGTTGTCATGGAAACCACTCATACCTGTAATATTCCTAAAGTGCCGACAATACCAGAGGCCTGCTGGTTTTTTAGTGGGTTTACATTCTTATGGGAGCCCAATGTCCAACCGAGAGTCAGGCTTAATACCATATATAGCATGATGAACTGGGAAACCACATCTAGCACTGAAAACATCGGAAAAGTGAACAATTAATAATGTTTTATAGGTTGCCAAATATTTATTTGGATTATGGTTTAACATACTTATATGCAATTTCAAAATATTTATATGTTAATGAAGAATCAGAATTTGCATGGGAATGTCTTAAAAATTGAACCCTGAGGTCGACATGTTAAAGTAACTTTAATTTACTCCTTTTGCAAAAGATTTACTTTGTCCCCGCATTTTAAATTAGAGATGCAATATAGGAGTATTGCTTTGATTGAGTTAAAAAACTGGTATCGTAACTGGTCCTAAATGACACATTGGCCATTTTATCCTGACAGACTGGTATAGTACTCTTCTCATGTTTAATAGGGAGGGGAAGGGGGAGGGGAGAGGAAGGGGAGGGGCTATCAATAGTTAACTTACATTCAGAAAGAATTTGCAGGAAAGTTAAGCCATATCCATCACTTGAATATCTGAAACAATCAAAAAATTGTCTTAATTACTTCACAAGCATACAAGGCATAGTCAAAAAGTTTGTATTTTGTCCCAGTTTGGATATCTTTTTTTTCAAAATTAGTGGAATTTTTCTCAGCCTCATATTCAGACCCAAGTCATTTAAAATATGCCAAGATTATACAAATGTTCTCATTTTCAGCAAGTATGTTTTTGGTGATCACTATCATATATTTATTTATTTTTATTTTTTATTTATTTATTTCATGATAATATAACAATGGAATGTACAAAGCATGTTTCACCTATGTAAATGCAGCATTATAAGTAGAGACCCTCCAGCTTGGAGAAACAAGGCTCCTATCAATAGCTTCAGAACCTGAAGAAAATGAAATAATCTAGCTACAAGCCCTTGTGAGGGTTCGCAGGCTTGAAGCAAGGCTAATCATGAAACATATTCGAGGTCTACATTTTTCTGGTGTTGCAGTGAAATAGTCTAGCTGCAGGCCATCATGAGTCCCCCCACTACACGCTTCATTGGTGAAGTAGATAGGGGGGGAGGTTCACAGTCTTGAAGAAAGATCATACAAGTTCATGAAACATGTTAAAGGTTACCCTTTGCTGGTTTTGCTGTAAACATGTACTGTACAGGGCGTATCAAAAAAAACACGCAATAAGTAGTTATTTCGTAAAATCACAAAACTAGTGATGACTACATCAATTTCATTCAATGTATCATAAAGCCACGTCTCTCCTCTTTGCAATGATATATCAATCATTCACATGTGGTAATGGTTGGGTGAGAAATCCTTCCATTTGCACAGTGGGTCAAAATCGGCTCTCGACCAAGTTTTAGATATTGCAAAATTCAGTGCAAGGGCTAAGTGCCAATGGAAGTTCCCCTGAATTTAATTGTTGTGACTTTTTCTTTTGGAGCTATCTCAGGAGCCTCTGTGCTCACAATTCCTCCACCAGATATTGCAAAACCTCGAGAAAGAATTGCCCATGGGCTGCATTTTTCTGCTTTATCCCACACATGACTCAGGGCTGAACCATGAACGACGTGGACAAATGAGCGCATCTTTATGTGCAAGGAAGTTGTGGCAATTCGGAGGGGTATAGGATGTATTCTTGCAAGAGTATGAACACTTTACTGTCTATGCCACACCTGTCACACCTTCTTCCAATAGCCCCTATGCCCCTTGCACTGACTTTTGCAATGTATAAAACTTGGGTCCGAGCTGAATTTTGCCCCACTTTGCAAAATTAATGATTATTCGGCGAGAGTAATTTGACGTTTTTGGTACATTGAATGAAAAGGATGCAGTCAGCATTGGTTTTATGTTTTTTTCCAATATTGCATCGGGCTCCGTACACTGACTTTTGCAATGTTCATAACTTGGTCCCAAGCTAATTTTGGTCCACTTTGCAAATGGAATGATTATTCGCCCAACCATGACCAAATATCAATGAATGATATATCATTGTAAAGAGGAGACACATGGCTTTATGGTGCATTGAATGAAATCAATGCTGTTATCACTGGTTTTGTGCTTGTTGACTCAAGCATGGCAGGATATTAAATGGTAAAATCTGGCCAATGTTAGTTCTGATGAAATTAGAAAATGTAAAACAATGGGATTTTGTTTTAGTGTCTTATGCATGTCTTACCTGGCACATTGGCCCCCCTTTGCTTAGAGATTCTTGGAGACTAGGGGTGTATATACAGGCCAGGATGAAGTACATCAATGTCAGAAGTTGGAAAAACCTCAACAAACCTGAAATACAATGGAATACGTACATTTAGCTAGTGTAAGTCGAACACCTTCAGGCCCGTAGCCAGGATTTGCCAAGGGGGGTTCAGTTTTCAAAAATTTCCAGGGGGGGTTCACATTTGAGAATTTTGGCCCAAATATGGCTAAAATCACAAGAGAAGTGCTCAAAATGGTGAAAAACTGCATGATTTTGAAAGAATTTTCGCCCGAACCCTGCGAACCCCCCCTGGCTACGGGCCTGACCTTAAAGCATTCCACTATTAGATATTTTTAAAAATAACAATTTTATTGACTAGGGGGTGTCTATTCGGATGTCAATCAAATGTCTATTTCTTGACTAAAACTATAAAAATATTATCATTGTCTTTAGTTCTGCCAAGCCTATTTTTTGCCTTGCCTCTTTTCCAATTCTGACAACCATACTGAGAAAACCATAGTGAAGCCTGGAGCCCATTTTTCATTGATAAGGCAAAGTGACAATTTGAGGTTTGTGAGCTGAGTGCTCGAGTGTGACTTTGTTGAAAAAAAGAAATCTATAAAAACAGAATTCTTTATAAAAAATGTAGGTATATCCACAAATTCTCACAAAATGTTTAGCATCCTTGTGTTGAATATTTTTCTGAAATTACAATATATCTGACTAAAAATAAATAACAAAAACAATAAATATTACATGATTCTAAAAACATTTCAGGTATAGAATAAATAGTATAGAATAAATAATGAAAATAATGATTTTAGGAAATAATATTCTAAAAAAGTATTTTCGAGACATTTAATGAGAATCTATGGATTTACTCTTCTACTAGTTTTTGATCAACCCTCAAGAACTCTGAAGATAGGCACACTAATTTATCTCCTTCTAGTTTTTGACCAACCCTCGAAAAACTCTAAAAAGAAAGGCATACTAATTTACCTCCTAATTGTTTTTGATCAACCCTCAAGAACTCTGAAGAAGGGCATACTAATTTACCTCCTACTAGTTTTAGGTCAAACCTAAAAAAAAAGCTCTGAAGAAGGTACACTAATAACACTACCTGTTTCCTCATCACTGAAATGATTGGTTGGTTCCCCTTCAATGTCTGGGTTCAACATTTGTATTTCAAACTCAATATAACTTGACTTTTCTAATGGGTTCAGGGATCTTGTCCTTTCACACGTGTAGGTGTCCGAATATATAATATGCCAGATCTTAGTGTCAGCAAATTGTGCCATACTTATATTGCCTCCTGTGTCAGTAAGTTCATCTGAAATTATAGTACAGGTATTGATAAATATAAATTATATGTGAAGGTTGTTCCAAAAGTTTCATGCAAGATTTGATTTTGTTAAACTTGCAATGAACTGTCAAATATGAAATGTACATTCAATGTTTTTTTTTTAACAAACACAATGCATTTTTAATAAAGATGGATTATACCAACATTTACATGTGTGGGTAAAACATTAGGGATAAGACAAAAACAGGACAAACGCATAAATAGGGCATATATAAATTAAGGGCAAACACATATGAATGCATGCAAATGCATGCAGACGACAATTACCCAAATGCGAGTAGGTAGTTACCAGTTTCACCACCAGGTGGCTGATTCGGGTCAATTAACATGGCAGGTATATAAGAAAGTTCCCTTAAACTTGAATATTATCAATTTAAGTGGCTCAATTTTCATATAACCCTTATGTGTCTGATACTTATACTAATGAAAATATGTCCAGTAAAGCAAAATATTATCTGTCCACTCAAAGAAAAGATATTTCATTTTTTGTGATTTTATAGCATGGGGTCTATGGGGAATCTCCCCGAGCTAGAAGTCACATTTTCAAAGAAAATTAATTTTCCAAAGTTGATAAACACTTTTTAAAACCACATTTCTAGATGTAATTTTACATGTAGATTTCAAATATTATATTACTTTGACTGAATTTTGAATTTTTAATGACGTAAATCAAGATTATTTCTACTCGCATCTGGGTTATTGACAAACCCATATTCAGTGCATACACAGGGCATACAACTATAAAGGGCATACACTGACAGAGGGCATACATTGACATAGGGCATACACGCAAAAGGTATGCATACAGTAAACACAGGACATATACACCAGGTATACACATCATACGCTTATACACTGCACTGACATGTACATACACCTGTACATATACATGTAGGGCATATATATGTACTGTACACTTATACGTACACTTTATTTTTGCAAGGTCCAGTTTGGTGTGACATTGGGTATCTGGTGTGACAGTGTGCCAGTCTTCATCTAAGATAAGGCCCAGGACTCCTTGCGTAGTACCAGTTGAGTTCAAGGTATAGGATATGATGGCAGTTTCACCTGCAATAGAAACCAAGGTAATATGGTTACATATGTAGGACCAAATGTCAGGAACTGGTGTAATGCTTTTTAAGGCGAGAACTCAAGGAGGAATTGGCCAAAAACATGCATCAAGAATCTCAATATTCACACTCCCGTCTATTCGATTCGAGTTTCAAATGAAAACATGCTAACTGACTACATGGTACCAGCTACATGTACATGTATGAATAATTCCAAATGCCAAAATATCCTCAGGTCTTGGTCAGGGTGCACTTTGATGAAATTTCATGACCATGTGCTATTTTCAGATAAACATAACTAATTCCACACATAATCTACATCTTTCATTCTTGCACATAAGATGCATTAGTGCACCTAGACTATTAACTGAGGGTTGATAGTTCTTCAGAATGTTGAATAAATTTAGAATATTCAGTGGTTTACTTTTCAAAATTGCAAAAAAGTGCACTCTGGCCTAATCTAGATCTTCATGAAAGAAGACAAGACACGGACAGAGAGATATCACTGTGTATATTGACATTTAATGCCACCTTATAATGAAAAAATAATGGAGACTTGCCATGAAAACAAAATGTAGACACATATTGTCCCATTTCTTCTTGGGCCATCCTCGTAGAAAAAATTCCTTTTGTTGTTTTGGCTTCTATCTCCAAAATGAGACAAAGGACAGTTAAAAATATCCCCAATATGCAAGATCCCATTTTTATACCCATATTGAATCACTATTTCAAGCAAAATGTCGAACGGCTAAGAAGCATTGTCTCAAAATGCTGTCTAATTTTTTATTTTCAAAATTTGTCAGCCATATTGAAACGTGTAAACAAATTGAGTGTCGTTAAAAAGTTTGAACTCTATTTTATCCTTTTTAGATAGCGAATAAAATGTATCAACGTATATTTCTAGTCGCATATCTGTTTATTTTATCTCATAGGTGAAGTGTGAATATTAATGAATTTGTATCAGAATCAAGAATCTGAAATACAAACTACCGTCAGTGAGTCGGACAGGTGCCCGTAGTTTTAGCAAATTTGCAATTTTTATTTTCATTTCTGTTTTAAACAATTGAAATGCAAACGGATGACACGTACTCGGACTTATCATACACGACTAGTGGCATGGCATTCGAAAAAAGAATTCTCATAACAGGAGGCGTTGGCTTCATGTAAGTATATATCCACAGGAACCTGTATGAACAGTTTATCCCAGACCGGCTTATAGTCCTGGCACGGGATAACTGACAGTGACATCTATTGGTGACAGTTACCTTATTCTTCGGCAAAAGGTACAAAAAATTTCAAAGCAAATGCGTGACATGTACGGATTTTTTGAACCACATGCGTGACATATACAGAATATGCGTGAAAAGACCAAACATAATGCGTTCACTTTTTTCGGAGTTTGCTTTTTACTGTATCAGCTTTTTGTAAAAAGCAGATTTTTTAAATATCAACATAATGCGTGATTGGCGTGACATTTTATCATACACGCTAAATTGATGTATGATTTCTATTTTTCCAGCAAATGTGTGAGGCTTTATATAAAAAACCTCCTACCTCATACCCACCTACCCACGTATGTGGGACATGATACAGTCTTTGAAGGGTTCAATTTTAAAGATCTTAATTTATTGTAGAGCTGGCATTGAATAGGATTTTAATGTCGACATGTCGGAGCTCTCGATCGACAACGATATCGACATTGTCGGGTTCAATGATATTCGAAAAATGAAAAAAATTTTGAAGAAAATTCGTCTGAATTTTAGATTTCTAGGCTTGTAATTAGCAATACAATGCACAATAGTCATCCTCAGTTGTATGTTTTATATTTACAGGTAAACCATGTTTAAGTATCAGACTTTGACGAAAAAGCAATAAATAGACATAAAACTACGATTTCTGTTATTATTTCCGGGCAGCCATTGAAAATAAATCTCGAGGGTAAATCTCGAGGGGCACCGAGACCTAATTCATGAGCAGGAAGTCGATCAAAACAAAACAGAAAATTTGAAAATGTAGGTGGTAAAACTTCACTAAAATACACCATACAGCAGGTAGTAACAAAGATTTTAATTCATAGGGAAATAGCTTATTATGTTGTGAGTTCCGACTGTCGATCAAGAGGCGTTGTGTCGACATGGGTGTCGCAGAGAGCATTCGACTGACAATCAACCATTCCGACATTTGATGCCAGCTCTAGTTTATTGAATCTTAGTTTATGATGAATTATAGATGCATTTGTAAGGACTCTTGATAGCAAGTTGCTACTACATCCCAGCTGGGTTCGATTCCCACTCAGGGCATCGAATTTAGCACACTATCTTTCAATTTCTTTATCTGGCTTGTTAGACCTATGCTCGCGGTCTTAGTTATGTATTCCCCTGGGGCGCCCTCGGCTCGTTACACATTAAAATGCATCCATGCCTTTATTTATGGATCTGTCATCTGTCTAGTCATAAAATAAAGCCGGAATTGTAGAAATTTTAATAATTTGAGCTATTCTAATAATCTTTAAAATTGAACCCTTCAATGACTGTATCATGTTCCATGTAGGTGGGTAGGTGGGTATGAGGTAGGAGGTTTTTTATACAAAGTCAATCTGTGACAATCACACCTAATGAGCCTAATGCGTGATGTTTGACAGGGCAGTAGTTCATATGTCCATCTACATCGGCTTTTATTTAATCTTTTCTAATAGAGCAATGTTTTGAAAAAAATCCTTCGGTAGAAATGGCCATTTTGTTTTTCGCTCTAGCGAGATAAAGTTCAACCTCAACAATCTCAAAAAATGGCAGATCCAGTGATTTTAAGTTTAGACGATTTATGCAATATCTAGTCTCACAAAGGAGAGGGTCCATTTGAATTCTAATCGATCAAATATTCTCAGACATGATTTTTGAATTAACATCTAAATTAATTTTTATCCAGGATAAACTTCCTCACTAGGGCATGGTGGTCCACATGCCATGTCTTCTAGCCAAGTAATTTGGCTAGAGACTCTTACAAGAGATAAAGGGTTATTTCCAGGGTTTGTTCACCAATAGATGTCACTGTCAGGTGTTGATACAGGTTCCTGTGAGAATATCCTGTGTAAACCTGTCTATTATTGGTTTAAATTCGTTATAATGTAGCTAATTATTTGTTGCAACAATAGGAGTTGGTTGCATTGACTCAGGAGTCTGGTTGCAGTTAACGCAGACTCGAATTGAACTGAAACCAGACTGAGACTCCTATTGTTGCTATGCAATGATTGGCTACTTAAGTAACAAATTGTAAGCAATATTAAGCCAGGGTCACTCGGAGCCTGGTTGCAATTTTGAGAGAAGTTGCATCAATTATTGTAAAATGCAAAACAAACCTTTAAGAAATGTTATATTAAAGTGTGATATAAATAATAAAGAGGGCAGGACAATTAATCTGTGTTTATATAGAAAGGTTAATTGGATATTCTACCACTGCTGCCATCTTTAAATCAGCCCAAAAGCTATGGTTTACCTCAGGAATAAAGACCTCAATTTTATGATTTATGGAGTAACTTCATTGTTAAAAGACCAAAATCGCACAGCGATTGAGGTCTTTGGCAATGGCCAGAATAAATTTTGAGGTCATATATTCGACATAAATCATAAAATCGAGGTCTCTGCTACGATTCTAATATGATAACAAACAAGAAACACGATTTTTTGCATTTATGAATTTTATTTGTCATACATACTCCAATATAGACCAGTAAATCAATTGTTCTAGCTAGTGTGACATCACGTATCATATTAGAATCATCTATATAATATGTGCTGTTCGGATTATAATTCCAAACATAATCATTAAAATTATATGAAAATTCTCATCATGTGTTTCTATCTCACTTATTTTGTCTACCTTCTTGCACCTAAATGCACTTATAGTGCAATGGGCAATAGTTGAAATATTTTATTTCCCCACCCTATCATTTGACTAGAATTGAATACTATTCCTTTAAGGACTCTCCCCTCCCCAATACACCTACCTACCTACATTATAGTGCCCCGGGCCTGCCTTATTTTAACACAGATACCAATAGTACATACACTTCTCTTTTGCACTGCACTGGACAAAATATATATATATTATTGAAATTTTTTATTTCTACCTCCCCACCCTATCAGTTAGCTAGAATTGAATATTTTGGCAGTATCATAACCATAACCAGTGTGACATCTACCTTTCTTTTTTGGCACAACATTTTCAACTATACCGTTTAAAGTAATACATGTATATGTATTATGTATAATTATTGTAAATGAAATAAATGGGCTATAAAGCTGAAAAATAGCCAAGTACGCCTGTTTTAACAAACTCGCACATATGATCAGCTCTTTTCAATATAGATCCTTGAGTAACTACAGTATGTTCATGCTGCTTTTTATCTCATTATAGACCTAACATATGTTGCAAGTTCAGATGCATGTATTCATTGGATGTGTTGGTTAATTGATGTTATGCTGTCTGACTATATTTTTGTCATCAACTGATTGCATCTGTAACTTTCCTCTGATTACAGACACAATTAATTTTGATTGGAGGTAAAAAGTATATATTGCTATGGGGCTGATGGAAACTTTTTAATTTTCTCACAATCATATTTGTTTGTTTTTCACAAAAAATATTATACATTTTATTTGAATTTAAAAAAAAAATTATGTTCAAAATTTTCAAAATGTTTTTTAAATATATATTATTTTTAGGTTTTACTACAGAAATATATGTGCCCCTTTTTGCAGAGGTTTGAGTACCATTCAAATGGGATGTTCTAGGGGGGTCTTGTCTATGCTTTTTCAGGTGGACCATTTCGCAGATCAATTTCAAATTTTCAGGGATGATTCTTTGTATGACCATCTTCAACTGATTTGTTTTTTTTGCATTCTGGGTAAATATTAAGGTGGCCATTTTGGATCTTCCATCTCAAAATCTTGTCTGTAAAGTCTTGTCTACGACAGTTATTTGGTGACCGTTTGATTGATTGATTTTAAATATTCAGGGATTACTCTTAGTTTGCAAATCTTAAACTGATTAGTTTTTAGGTATTCTGGGTAAATGTTATATGGATGCTATTTTGTTTTTTGTCCTAAAATCTTGTCTTAGCTTTAGTGTTTGGCATTCGGGATGAAAAAATCGTTAGGATCATCTATTGGTGGGTACATGTTTGCAAATCTTAAACTGATTAGTTTTTAGGTATTCTGGGTAAATGTTATATGGATGCTATTTTGTTTTTTGTCCTAAAATCTTGTCTTAGCTTTAGTGTTTGGCATTCGGGATGAAAAAATCGTTAGGATCATCTATTGGTGGGTACATGTTGTACACATTTGTGTCCTTGTCACTACACGAACTTAACATAAGCTTACATCAGATTTATATAGTTATTCTATTAAAGGTCGAGTGCCCGAAAATATTAACACGATTGAACATTTTGAACAACTAATATACATACTTTTTGTGGCTTGGTTGATGTGTCTTATCAAGAAGACGATAGAGTGACAAAGATTATGTCAAGCGGAGTTTAAAATTTTTGTGCAAATTTCATTTTAATTTGGTTAAATTACGATAGATGGCAAAAGGTCTAAAGGTGTGTCACGTGACACAAAACAACGAATCATATGACACAAAAACAATGATTCATTCACCAGATGGTGCAGTTCAATAAGGTCAATTTTACGACAAATGAAAACCGTTTAGCTCAGCTTCAATTTTGCCCTTGCAGTCGAACGAAACTGGAACTTCTTTCGTCGATATCTAGGTGTTTTTTTCAGGCTCCGGTATTTTGACAAAAGTAAGTTCAGGTCGT